GCATAATTTCCTTAATTTTTTTATAGTGCAATGTGAAGGGTGGCCCGAGGATGAGTTCGGTAAGAGAGGCGCTTAGTGGTGTTTTTATGTTGGTCAGGCCAATATAACAAGACACCTTGAGCTACGAACACTGGACACAAAAGTAACAAGTGATTTACCTTTTTTTTTTCCTCGCTCATATTGTACATAATTTGCTCTTGGCATGGACGGGTCGCAGGGTCTTATATGAATGTACTGTACTTCGCTTAATGACTTTCGTTGAGTGTGTGTGTGTTCTTCAAAGTCAGGACGGCAGCTTATACCCTATTAACTGCAGCTGCGTTAATGCTCCCGTCAGCGCAAATCTCGGTACGTACAGTAATCAGGTCCAGAAAACACACACACACATGGTTTTTACTCTCTCTCTCTCTCTCTCTCTCTCTCTCTCTCTCATACTGAAGCCCAGAACTACTCATTAATCTCTCTGATAATAATAACAATTGCGTAGTTTTATTCTAATTTCCCAAAATGTGTTATCATTATGCATAAACCGGGAAATCCATCCAATGTGCGGTAAGAGGGGGAGGCAGGGTGAGTGAAGGAGGGGGAGAGGGGGTCGGTGAGGAGTCTGGAGGGGAGGAGAGGGTTGGAGAGGAGGGGAGGAGAGGGTTGGAGAGGAGGGGAGGAGAGGGTTGGAGAGGAGTGAGGATAGAGGGAAGGTAGGAGTGAGGACGCGCTCATATTATTCCGGTATGACTCGCGTTACAGTGACGCGTACTGAACATGTCTACTAGCCTATCTCCTGATGGGGGTATAAGTGACGGCGGGCTAACAGTGGTTAAAGTGTTTCCTCAGTCTGGTATTATCACTGGTGGAATAAACACTAACCACGCAAACACATATAAACATGATTTAATTGTTAGTGACTATCGTGTATTTACTAATCTAGAATACGTATTTAAGGACCATTGTTGTTGAAGCTCAGTTAGTTGGCGTCTGTGTGTAATAATTTACGTTAGAATATGCGTTTAAAGACCTCCTGAGTTGTTGAAGTGAAGTAATGCATCACCACAACATCCCCATCTCGAGAAAATATATAAAATATCACTTGCAAGACAGAGAGAAGCGAGGAATAGCCCAGTGGACCTGACGCTGTTAGTGTTTATACTTCACTGGTCGAACCTTATACCACACACCATCTCATCGACGATTGTCCAGATAAATTTTTGAGTGAAAGTGAGACTAAAGATGAAAAATTATGGTAAAATAAGTTGTTTTGGCAAGATAGTATTCTAGTGAAGTTTGCAAAATGGTATTAGTGATGGGAGACACATCCTACTATTATCAGACGATCCTATATATATTTCAACATCATAGTATAATTTAATGTGAATCCAAAGTAGTTGTAAGAGTGCTTTGGTCTTGATGTTGTAACGGGTGATGTAGAAACCACAAAGATACATGTATTATCAAAATTATCTCAGGATGCAATAAAACAAGAATATGCACTCAAAGTCGTTTTACCCCACAACTTTCATACGTTTTTGAAGAACCTTTACTAAATAAACACCAACTAATTGAGAAAAGTATTACTATTTTAGCCATTAGTGGAACACACACACACTATAGAAGAGCTGCAGCCAAGACAAGTGACGAACGTGTGGCAAAGGATGGATTTCCCTGGCAGCTGCAGATAGTAAAATTTTCTCCTACTCAGGCAAATATCCTGCTAGCTCATCAAAACGTGTGAGGAATGTATCGAAAAACTATATTTATTGCGTCTACAGCCAGTGTGTTCAAATGTGTTTAAGGGGAAGGTTAATGCTTTCCAGAGTAAAAATGTTAAACCTAGTAAGTTATTGGTGATCCTAGTAAGTTAAAGTTGATCCTAGCAAGTTATATTTGATCCTAGTAAATTTATTGTTGACCCAAGTAAGTTACTGTTCGACCTTATTAATGTGATTAAGATAAATTATTCAGAAAATACAAAAGAAGGACGTAGGCCTTATAACGTTAATACCCGTGGTGGGAAGCTGCCCTCCCCAAGGACAACAGATGCCAAATGTCACCACTCATTGATAAAGGCATAATTATGTTAAGACAGAGAACAAATAATAAACCCATACAGGAAATTAATGAATATCGGAGGAATATATATCGTTTATGTAACCTTGATAAAACTCAAATGCGTGGAAACAAACAGAACTTTACGTCCGATATATTTGAAGAATTTTGTGGATTCGAACAAGTCCAAACTGATAGAAGTGATTACCAGTAGGTTAATGTGAGGTTAATACATTGTAATAATGTAATAGCCATGGTAGAATATTGTCTTAGCTCGCATGAGGTTGAGGTATAGAGTTAAACCCCCAAACTGGCAAGTAACCGAAGCCGGGTGAGGGATGGGGTTACGCTGGTGGGGGAGGTAAGGGACCAGCGAGTAGGGAGGGATGTGGGGAGGGACACATTCGGTAGGGGGGGAAGGAAACAGACAGGTACAAGACGTGGCCAGGTAAGATCTCCTGTTCCAACACCTGCCCACGCCATACCGGGGAATTCCCAGACGTCTGAATGACCAAAAATGCCAAAAAGTATGACCATTTTAATAAGATAACACACAAGTTTTAATTATACATTGAAGACAAGTGATCTCAGTATTAATAATATGCAATAATGGCCACGTTATGTAATATATATATATATATATATATATATATATATATATATATATATATATATATATATATATATATATATATATATATATATATATATATATATATATATATATATATATATATATATATATATATATATATATATATATATATATTTATATTTCAGACACATTTACGACTATTCCACACACGTAAACGACATTAATAAGACTCCATCACGACTTTTGGGTTGAGCCTTATGTGGTCATCTGAAACACTCCGCTATAATGCTGCAATGTAAATATTACATCCATATTCCCCTCTAATGATATAATCAATACTGTACTTGTTCCTGGAGCAAGCAAGCAAACTCAGATTAAAAATGGCGCGTTGGGAACTGCCCCTCACCACTGAAGCCACGGCACCTCATAACAAAAATATATATTTCAATTATATATCACGTATTAACCTCACAACATTCTCAAGTATTATTAATTATTGTAAGTTTTTTTTTAATATTACAGTCCTGGCAAAATAGCTTAAATATTGCTTAACGTCTTATACTAACATACAATATTGGTTTTTGGTTTTTTTCATTTTCAATTGGTGCATGACAAGTGAGTTAACGAGTAAATGAATGGAGTAATGAATAAGTTAATGAAAAAAAGATGAATGAGGAAATGTTAGCATAATAACTAAACCAGATAATAAATAAGACATTAATAACAGGAAGAGATTATATGGTAATTTACAACCATCACTATTTTACCTTAAGTAGTCGTGTCCAAATTGTCCATCAATTCATCTTTCGTGTTCTTCCGCCTACCACATCACTATTACAGATACTGATATTCCTTCTGTTATCATTTCCTTCTTCATGACTGATATCTTGAATGAACATCAGTAACTAAATGCAAGCAGGAAAAGGATGTCGACCGTGCCGGCAAACCTTGGCTTAGTCGTATCAATTAAGACATTTTATACAGTGCCACGTACACTGACGTTTAACCCAGTGTCACTATAGCATTTTGTCTTGTAATATTCACTCATTCCAGGCTGTTTTATGAGTACAGCATGTCACACAAACGCACTACTTGTGTTGTCTGCTCCCGTACTCCACGCCATGGCAAACGACTGTCACTGTTTTGGTTGAAAGAATCAGTGGTACCAACTCCACCGCCGCGAGATATTGTTTACTTTGATAAAATTTCAATAATGCGTACTCAAGATATAAACAGAAATGAACCAAACGTGCATGTAAATGAAGTCAATATATTTTTATTTTATGGAGATGGGGAAACTCGCGTACTTGATGTTGTATAGTATAGGTTATGATGTGTGATGTTGCAAGCTTTACATGACTCAACCCGCCGCGTTCGTGTTCCGAGGAGGGATATTTAACTGTGTATGAAGACATATTTCGTTCCTCATACACGCCACTTTCTTTATAAATAAATAATAAGAATTAATAGAAGTCTAAATGTATTGTAATTCTAAAGATATCATTATTCACAATTCTGTTGATAATTTTTTTCTTAATTGACAGTTGCGTCTCATGCTTTAACTGTTATGAAAATTATACCAATACATCTTGTTATATCATTACGTAATCTTAAGGTCAATTCTAATCAGTAATAGTATACGTACAGAAGTAAAAGTAAAAGATTTGTTATAAATATTAAAAAAAATAAAATTGACCTTGGACTATTCGAGGCTGGTGGATCATTTCAATACATAACAGCAAAGTATTTGAAGCCTGATTCGGGTTTTCGTTCATGATGTGTTTGGACTGTCAATTGACCGCTGTGTCTGCTTGTAAGTGTTATGTATGTATACGACAAGAGACTTAAAGGATAATAAAAACATTATATTATTGCTTTAAGCTCTTTTTCATTTAAAGATGTATGCACACACACATGCATTATCTTGGATGGATGTGGCAGTGATTCATACACCAAAGACGAAACTCAATACAGACGAACCAAATAACATGGCTGATAAGTGTTTCATGCGACATCAGATACTGACTATGTTAATAATTGTACAAAGTGCATTTACATCAGCAAATCAACATTATATTGTAGTATTTAGAAATAACACTGATCTACTTACGCTGGTCTACAGTACTGAACGAGGCATTCCCTTCAGAATCCATTTCAGGCCAGAACCAAAGTTAAATTACAAAAATATTACCAAGGTGTCGGATATCAAACTTGTTCAGGGTTCACTTGGGAATGGTGTGTGTGTGTGGACGCCTGCTTCCACATGGCTTTCTGGGACGAGAGTACGAGACACCTCATCAAGACAAAGCAACACCTGGCTTCGTGAATTACAGTGTCTTTTAAAAGCTGCAGGAGGAGAGATTGGCAGGTCCCACAGTTGTCAGGATCAGTAGGAATCCTGCAGGGTGGTGGGAGAACTGCTACACTTGTCGTCGGGGACAATAGGGTGTCTGTAGGGTGGGCAGGTAGCGGCTGGCGTCTATATTGACTATTTTCAGCCATTCCTTCAGCGCCATCAGGAAGCTCGCGGGAACATTTGGCTCACGTGCCAGAATCCACGAGAACTCTGTACAAGAGAAAATGGGATAAAAAACATGAAAGTACAGGTAAGTCTCCCCAGGTTTCTCACATTCTCCCTATTATTTTCACATCGATCGGACACGTAGAATAAAAGACCCACCCAATTTGAGTTCAGGGCCGAGATAGGTGCAGGAGTGTACGACAGCGTAGTTACTGTAGTCTGTGGCCACCACTATGTAGTTAGGTACACCGTCTGGCGAGAAACTACCTGCAGAAGAAAGGAGAGGCTGGCTGGGAGAAGTATATAATATTGGAAAAAGTACCGCTAAATCATTTGTACTTAGTTTCTCAAACAAACGACACGGACGGAAAACAAACCCAAGCTATATAGGGATCGTTAGGCTAGGCTTCGTTAGGCTAGGCTTCGTTAGGCTAGGTTTAGTTCGTGTCGTGCAAACTGTCTATTGAAGGTCCTGTTCGTGGCATTTTTATCACCCTAATACCTCATACAGGTTAACCAATTACTAACACCTCTAAAACACCTCTAGGCTCTTCGTCACTTAATTATCTCTTTTTACCTTCAGAGAATGGGAAGTCGACCACTAATTTCCCTTCAGACTGGTTAGGACCGAGCTCAGCGAAGCCGGAAATAGAATCCAGTTCACCTCTGATGAAGAAACAATAAGGTAACGATACTTTAAGAAATAGTTTTCAAGTGATGTGAGTTGTTGAAATGTGGAAGATAAATTGAAGATTTTGTCCGGCTAACGAGAGGGAATGGCTATGATAGATGATGGTATAATGAACGTAGTATAATGATCATAGCCCCCACGGTAGCACATAAATAATAGCACAGGGGGGAATGGAGACAATTAAAAACGTTGCCTTTACTTACTCTGAGATTTGAGTGTTAATAACAGAGACGGTGCCATTTGGGAATAACTCGTAGTCAGCAGTCACACATTCACCATTTTGGAAAGGGTTGAAAAAACGCTCGATTTCATACCACCTCCCAAGGTACTGTGGAGAGAAAGTGTCGAGTCTTGAGAACTCTTGACACACGTCCATAATAATTTAAGGTAAGAAAGAAGCCAGGAGGAGGGGCGAATGAGATATGAAGTAGTTATCCTTCTTTTCGGAGGCTACAGAAGTTAAGTAGGTGGAATACTGTATCTCATTTTCTTATAACAAAACAACTTTCCAAATTATATACTGCTATCGTTAATATCACGATAAATAACCCCCATAAATCTTTTCTCTTACCCTTTGCAGGTCGAAGTTGTTTACTACAGGCACAAGAGGACAGGGGCCAGGTGCTGGTGGCTTTGGTAGGAAGGGCAGGTTGTTCTGTCCCTGACACAACACACAACTCAGACCAGCCAAAACACCAACAACTCTTAACGCCATCATTGCGGCAGTGTAGCTTCTGGTTTATCTGTAGAATATAAGTATAGTACTGTAGTTAATATATTTATGTGTCGGTGAAGTCCAGTTGAGCTTTTAGTCACCCAGGGGGATCAACTGAACTATACACACCCCAAGATCAACTGAACTTTAGGCACCCCGGGGATCAATTGAATTATAGACACCCCAAGATCAACTGAACTTTAGGCACCCCGGGGATCAATTGAACTTAAGTCATTCCGTGAGAATCAATTGAAATTAGAATGCCTATGGAAGAGTATTTCTCGCCATTTAATATCACGAACACAACGCTTGTCTCAAAATTTTCTTCGCAAATTTCACCCAAAACAAGATATTTTTAGACATTTCTTTCCTGCACTAATATATGGTCTCGGTGATGATTATATTTAATCATCCGAGCTTGGGTTAACGAATGAAGGCAAAATATATATAAAGGCACTCTCAGTATTGGTAAACATCAATGAATCACCAATATCACTATACAGTAAAATATCGAACTTAAAATTTCACTAAACATTAACCTTCCACACTAACACAGCACAAACCTACCAAATTATCTTTAACCATCTAAATACTCAATAAATTATACAAGGAAACAATGAAAATAGGCAGAAATTCGTCCAATGCAAAAGGGTTAATACTCACCGTCGGGGGGCCAGTTGATGTCTCCGCGCACATCCTCCCAGCCCAGTATTGTACTTCCTTATGTAGTGTAGTGTGGTTATATAACTGCAACGATGCCAGATCTTGTTTTATAAATAATATTTTCTTGTTCTTTAGAGAGATAGAGTATGATATGGGCGGAAGAGTATTTTGTGATAATATTACATTGGTATTATCTTCACTTTAAATAATAATACCTGTAAAGTTCTATGCAGTTTGAGTTACATTTAACAGTTATTTGCTACGGAAAAATTGGTAAGTACTGCAAATGCAAGCAATATTACTTTTAGTCCTAACGCATATTAAAATTTGGTATAAATATTAGTTTATATTTTTCTAAACAGGTATTTTTACAAGTGTGAAAATATTAAGCTAAAGTTGATGAAAACTATAAAGGATTTTCATAGCATGAATACGTAGGACCAAAAATATATGAACAAGAGGAAACTAACTTATTTCTTCAATTTCTTACATATTTTCTTTTTTGTATACAATACACAACAGTGAGAAATATACACTTATTGTTCGTCATGAAAATAAAAGCTAAGTAACTTATTTTTCATTTATGTAAATTCATATAAGGAAATGTACGCTAATATATGAAATCTCACTTCTCATGATGACCTAGATTTTTAAACACAGGAGAGGCATCAGCATGAAACTTGCACTTTTACTTACACAATAGTACGAAGGCTAATGACAATAGCTGTGCGTCTTCATAAGTTAAAATGAAAACAAAAATTGAAACGTTCGAATTTACTGACACACACACACACACACACACACACTCCTGCCCAGTTTGTCACAGAAAATCAAGACCTTTTACTGAACACCTAAATTTAAAACTAGTTGATCACATGTTATTGCTGGATTGATCTGTGAAAACAAATACGCTTAATTGTTCTTGGTAACAGCTACTGGATGTGTTACCCTGATCTAGAAGGTTTGTATGTGAGAGAGAGAGAGAGAGATGAGGAAATACGTGGCGTCAGGGTGGTGTATATGACGTGACTCCCGCTTGCTGTGACGATTACAGGTGGATTATAGTCGTCTCCTTATATCTGTTTCTCTTCTACACTTTCGATTTACGTCATCGAACCACCTACTCACCACCGACCACACAATACTGAACTGAAGTCACCCGCTTGCAGGACCAAAGGAAATTTCACTATATAGTATTACGCTTGCTTGCATGTGTGCTGTCATAGTTCCCGCTAAGAAAATTGTCTCCGTTTTTCTTATGTTAGTGACGAGTTGTATTTACTAACCTAATATACGAGCTTATATACTGTATCTTATTTGATGGAGCACCAGTAATATATTATCGCATTAATATCCACACACACACACACACACACACACACACACACACACACACACACACGCACGCACGCACATGGTACACATCTGCTACGCCTTTCACGGTTTCACTTTCACATGATTAAGAATATATCACGTACAAATTCAGAATTTAGATTTGGGTGTTAAAACGCAGAAATACTTTATAACATCAATGCTCTTGTTTAAACGTTTTCGGAGTCAACTAAGATTGGTATTCATAAAGCTGCTGACTCAGCTATAGTTACGGCTCATTGATTATTAAAAACTGGACTGAATAATGTGTTTATTTTACTGTAGATATTTTGGCGTCATATTTCGTATTGTTTCTTTTTTCACTTCCCTGAGAATACATTTGTTTTTGGATATAATTTAGTTTAAACTACTTCAAGTTACATAGCGCACTACAAGTTATTAGATGACTATTGCATAAAAAACCTCCTTATTTAATGAATACGCATTACTATACAGGGGTAAACAAGGTTGGAAGTACAGTACACAAACTATACCTTCTTTACAAATGTTCCTTGGTAATTTTTATTGTTAGTTCAAGCTGCTTGAAGGTTAATGAAACATGCAAGAAAAGTATAGAGTGAGTTTGTTTCTACCAACCAACTGGGGAAGTTCCTGTAGAGCGGCCCTGTCCACTTGGCTGTGTACTGTGACCGGGAGGAGGGGACACGTCGCTTCCGCAGGAAACTCTCCTCGTTCCCCTGGCTGACTCTCGCCAGTGTGGACTCCTTAGTTAAGTAAACTATGGAGTGAAATCCAACAAGGAAAATTATCTTGGTGTGAGTTATATGAAATTAGTATGCTGTAAAATATATAGTGAATAATAATGTTAAGTATTAAGCTGAATAATACAAACATTCTCTCTCACTCCCTCAGGTCTTAACACTTACTGTACATTGTTGGTTTAGAGAGCACGTCTCTTTCCCGTTATTCTAACAAATTGATCCATTATTTCATTCCGGTGAAAATGAAATAGAATGACAGGTGCATATTTCATATCCCCCCAAAAGTAAATTATATAATTAACTATATGCTGAAAAAGCCCTTATGTCGCCACCGTCGGCAGGATGTGTGTGGGGCTGTGGGGAGTGAGTAGTGTCCTTGGCGATGGTGTGTGGTGGTAGTAGGTTCCTATACCATGACCATCTCACCCTCCTACTCCTCCCCCTCTCCTTTATGTCATGGTTTGTATCCAAGTCACACTCGCCAGCAGGATACACGTGATGGTGGTGGTGCTGGAATCTGTAAACACTCACCTGCTGTGTTAGCCATAATATTGATCTCCCATTAAAATTATTTTTTGTATTTACTCCAACATATTAAATAACTTTGATGAAGCCAGAAAAGAAGAAAATACAGAAATAAATACAACTACTACTAATAACAACAAAACAATAGCACTCATAACAGAATGGTGTAAATTCTAAATCTGGATACTTCTACAAACTCGCAGGGTAAAGACTATTAATTTTACAAAATAAATTAGACTTACAGTAGTGTCATTGTGTGTGTGTCAGAATTTCACCCTTATCGACTTGTGAAATATTGTTTAGTTTATGAGAAAAAAAACTTAATTGCATGATGTCAATAACTAATGAATAAAACCACAGCAGCATATGGCACAATAATCAATGTTCGTCACATGATCCGAAGCGGTTGAGTGTTAGAGGTAACAGGGTCAACTGCAACAACCACAACTACCCACAACTCGAGCAGGAAACAATGAACTCCATGAATGCTGTGACACCCCCAGAAGCCCATTTACTGCACATACGGTTCTGTCAACTAATAGGACAAGAGAAAACCACAGGAGCTGTTTTCAAAGCTATCGGAATGACCGCCATTCAGAGAGGATCGGCCGCCAACAGTTGCTCCAAGCTCCAAAACTTACGACTTAAGTCCCATTGTATGCTAATAATCTCCTTATCTACTGACAGGATCTGGTCCCGTGTAAGGCAACTGGTGGTTATGAAATTGGCGATGAAATAGCTCTCGGGCAACTGAAACAATAAGAACATTGGGTTCCGTGTCTTTATGCCCAGCGACTTCCACACTTATATTTCCTATTACTTTCTCTTTGCTACTTTTCGAATTATCGCATATATATATTACTCATTTGGTTTGTGTCTGCCTAATTTTCATCAAAACAGGCAAGCAATTGTGTTTTAGGTTGTTTAAGGTAATTTTAGTATACAAGAGACGGAGGATCATGGTGTGACATGAGATAACTTTACCAACGACACCTGGCAGTTGGTGTACCTGTTACTCATTCCCCGCGCGCCCTGACCCAGTTCTCGCTTCGCTAGTTGTATTGGAATCTGCCTCAGCACAGTGTTACTATATACATATTTCCTGCTACGACTTGTACAGTATGTCACCAACTTAAATTATTGGGACAGTTGCTGATTCATAAAACCTTCTATAATTCTCAAGTTCTTATTATAAATGAAGATTATTAATATGACAAGTAATAACATTCCTCTATGACTGTACCTGCTAGAGAACATCTACTGTACTACTGCGCCACGGCTGTTTCACTGTAAGTTGCTGTCGATGACTGATTGTACGGGAGGAGAGGGCTTTTATTTCTGAGCTTATATCATTCGTTACCAATGATTACCAGCCGATCAGTGGTGAAGATAAAAGACAATGTAACGCAGGGGCTCTGAACCAGGGTACATTAACCCCAGGGCCAGGGGGTACAAGTTGTCAACAGTACATAACAGCCAATGAATGCCCACAGTGCCCACAGTGCCAAACAGAGACGTGACTGACTTCCCAAGCGACTAACAGTCCGATCAGTGGCGAAGAGTATAAAATAAAATAAAATAAAATAAAGTACACCAAAGTAAAATAATTGCTGTCTTACAACGATAATAAAAAAGTAAAGAAGTTCTCCAATAAAAATTTTCCATTTTCTTTGATCGCAACACAGAAAACGGATGTAAATAAACAGATTGATGAAGAGTTTAAATAATTTTGAATGAGTTTAAAGGTACTACCGTAGTATTAAAAAGACCAACAGAGTATCATTTTAATTAAATAACTAACAATAATAATAATAATATAGGTCATTTGCGAGGCAAACGATATAGAATAAAAGTGTCTTAAAATTATCTGAAATATTGATTGTAAAGATTAGATTCTCGAGATTCGGTTGGTTGTAATAATAATAATAATAATAATAATAATAACAATAATGATAATAATAATAATATTATTATTATTATTAAATATGAATAGAATAATTATCATGGAGTTAATTCAGGACAGAGTTATATTAAAGAAATTAACCTTAAGTCGAGAAACTTTAATAACAAAAAGTTCACATAGTGAAACTTTTGTCAATTTCTGCAAAATTAATTTTACGATACAGATTATTAGAAAAAATTATAAGAATAAATGAATTTCAGGATTACTAGGAACCCTAGTATATTGGTTTTGGTTTGGTTAGATTAGCATAAGTTAAGTTAGGTAGGTAAGATTAGGCTAGGCTGCTAAATTAGGTTTGGTTAGGTTAAATTAGATAAGGTAAGTTAGAGGGCAGATACTGTGTAATAGACTCAATTGACACAATAATGGCATGCGGTATCCCTGCATCAGCACCCCACAGATCACCAAGTACAGGTATTACAAGGTAGAATTGTGAGTACGATGAGGTTAATGCATCTTTGGTTGACTGTACATCATACATGAGATAGTTATATACTATATATATATATATATATATATATATATATATATATATATATATATATATATATATATATATATATATATATATATATATATATTTGTTTTGATGATACACATAATTTATTTAATAAATAAAAATAAAAATTACAAACTACCATGAGACATGATGTGTGACATCAAATTCAGAAATAGGAGGGTAATTAGAGGGATCCAAAATGATCACGTGCTCATTTTGAATAGGTTATGAAATTTATAACCATATTGCATTTAATTTAGAGTCAGCTGCAGTGTAATAAGTATCCATTTTATTTTCAGCAGTGTCTGACGGTGAAATAAAGAGGCATAATGATGCACCAGACTTTAATAAAGAGGGAGTATGTGATGGCAGCATTGACAGCAGACAGAGGACATGATGCTGAGCTCCTCTCCTGGACTGCCCACGAATTTACTGAGCCTGGAGAAAACACTGCTGCTTTCCTCATGTGCCTTGAAGTGGAGTTCTCTCAAAATGGAAAGAATGACAGGATAAATTATATAGCAAAGTTAAATCCCCTAAGAACTGAAAACTGGACGGATTTCATACGCATGTCTTTTCAAAAAGAAGTGGGATTTTATGAAGAATTAGGACCAGCACTTACGACCCAGATGAAAGCAGCTGGATTAGACGGTCTAAGATTTCCTAGATGTTTCTTTTTTAGCTTAAAACAAGATGGCGAAGTGATCATTCAAGAAGATTTAAGGACACAAGGATTTAGAAAGTGTGATCGCATGAAGACTTTGGATATTTCACACGCAACAATAGCCCTACAAGAGCTAGCTAGGCTTCATGCTGCCTCCCTAGTGCTTAAGACCAAACTCACCAAAGACATTCAAAGCAAATATGATGATTTCCTCTCCAAACACTGGTCCAGTTTTAAAATTGGAGCTGAAGAAATTTACTGTACACTTATGAGTGACAATTTAGAGAATGTGAAAGTTGTACTACAGAAAATGGAAGGCTATGAGAGAGCAGCAGAGTGGGTGGAAAACCTTAAGTCGAAAGTCCTCAGTATCTTCCAGGAGCAGACTGCCACTACCCCACAGTTTGCTGTTGTTTGTCACTTTGATCTTGTAAACAATAACTTACTCTTCAGGTAAAGTTGAACAGATTTGGTTTTCCATTAATCGTTAATATATCTCCTAAGAAAAGTAGGCAATCTTATTGCCTTTCTGCTCCATATTTTATTATTTAATCAAATCAGATCCAAAACAAAATATAAATTATATAAATATTGCACAGTATTATTGGGCAAAAATCATTCTGCCCAATTTTGGGAGCCATAAAATAGGTTTGCCCAATATCTCAGCAAAGGTCATCCTTAATCTGCTGATTGAGGCTCCGGCATTCAGACACCACAAGGGTATTTGGGCCAAAAATTTAATTTTGCCAAAAATCTCAGCAGAGGTCATCCTTGACCTGCTGACTGATCTTCCGGGATTCAGAGAAGTCTTGGTGGTCTTTTCCCGGCAATCCCTTTTCTTTTAAAAAAATAAGAATTTAATGTGTTTAACCATTTAAGTACATCAAAAATAACACCAAAACACCTAAAAGAGCCCGTGAAAACTATAGGATCAATGATTCCCAACATGGCTTCACAATTGGGTGTTCATGCTCGACATATCTTTTAAAATTCTTTTCAACTGCTTTTGAATCAGTGGATGATGAGCACAATTATGATGTGGTATTGTACCTCGACTTTAGCAAAGTCTTCGACAGAGCCCCCCACGAAAGACTAATACGAAAAGTGGAGGCTCATGGCATTAAAGGAGATATTCTAAAATGGATTAGGGCGTGGCTACAAGACAGGAAACAGCGAGTAAGCATTAACAGCACTAAATCCGATTGGGGTAACGTCACTAATGGAGTACCCAAAGGCTCAGTACTTAGACCAATACTATTTATTATATAAATAAATGACATCGATATAGGCAAAATAAGTAAATTTGCTGATGACTCTAAAATAAGGCGTGTAATTAAATCTGACGAGGACTCCGCAAAACTACAGGAAGATCTAAACACATTTTCCACATGGTCTGAAAAATGCCAGATGAAATTTAATATGGATAAATGTAAATACTTAGTCTAGGAGATATAAACAGAGAAACCAGATGTCAGATGGACAACGTTGTTGTAGAAAAATCTGACTGTGAGAAAGAATTAGGAGTAATGATAAGTAGGAATCTTAAACCAAGACAACAATGTGTATTTGCTTGAAACAAGGCTAATAAAGTATTGTATACTTGGGATCATACAAAGGAGTGTTAGTTACAAGACTAGCGAGGTCATCCTAAAACTATATCTTGCACTTGTGAGACCTCACTTGGATTACGCGGTTCAGTTCTGGTCACTATACTACAGTATGGATATAGAATCCCTATAAAAGAATTCAGAGGAGAATGACAAGACTAATCCCAGGCATTAGGAACTTTGGGTACAGAGACAGGTTAAAGCATCTTAATTTGCACTCCCTCAAGAGACGTAGAATGGGGGGCGATATGATCGAGGTGTATAAATGGAAATCAGGGCTAAACAAAGGGGATATAACAAAGGTACTCAAACTATCCAACCAGGAGCAAACTTGTAGCAATTATTTTAAATTAGACAAATTTAGATTTAGGCGTGAAATAGGTAAACATTGGTTTGGAAATAGAGTAATGGATGAGTGGAACACGTTACCAAACATCATCATTAACTTGAACACACTGGATAGCTTCAAACATAGGTTGGATGGATATATGAGCGATAAGGGTTGGGTGTAAACGGGACTGCCCAGTATGGGTCAATAGGCCCGCTGCAGTTTCCTCCATTCTTATGTTAGGTCAGGTTGCCAAATTTCCCTTGTCTTCAAAGGCCTGCCCACTTGGGGCAACCAATGTCATTGCTAATGGAAGTGGGTCATATCTCCATAAATATTCACTGTGCTTAAAATATAGATCTTATTCTTTTAAACCAGCATAAAAAAAACATAAGAAAACTCTAATTTTGTTAGTGATTTGCAATTATGTACTCTACTAAATCTTCTGCAAGTCAAGACTCATTGTGTTCCCTACCCAGGTATAACGAGCATGGTAAGCCAATAGAAGTCAAGATATTGGACTTCCAGATGTGTTACACTGCCTCCCTCGCCACTGACATTACTGATTTCGTCTACAACTGCCTCAGCGGATCGGACAGAAAAACCCATCTAGATGACTTCCTTAGCAGCTACTATGCCTCCTTCAGCAGAGTACTGCAGGCCTGTGATTCACCTATACCCTTCACCTATAAGCAATTGCAGGAAGAATACAAGTCCAAGCTCTTGTTTGGAGTAATGTCATCATTGTATAAGTTACCCTTTATTGTTGCTGAAGACAACGAGATCCTCGACATGGATAATTATGATAACCAAACAACTTTCACTAACACACAGCAAAGGAACATGATGATTATGTTTGACAGAAACAAAAGTTTTCATGACCGTTTACTGTCCATATTTGATGATTTGGGACAATTTGGGATGTTAACTTAAGAGAGTAAAAGCTTCCTGATGTATACATGATAATACCGTAGAGTATATTGTTGATATACTGCCAGGAATGATGGAATATCTATGCAAGAGAGGTGTGTGATACATGCACACACACACACTTATTCATACAGAATGTGCCCCCAAAAATATATATCATAAAGTAAAAAAAAATATAGAATAAACATTTCTTTTGGGAGCATGTGAGGGACTTACATACTGTAAAAGGGGAGGTGGAGCATGTGAGGGACTTAACACATAATAGGGAAGGTGGGAGCGACTCAGAGGATCTCGGGTGGCTGTCTCGTGAGTAGTGAGAAGATTGCTAAATGGCAATGCAGTCTTATTTTTTTTTTTTTATTAATATCATTATTTTTTATTCACTCACATTTATTGGTACAGTATATATTATTTTATGGACAAAGAATAGCTTCTTCCACATGCAAACAATCTTTGGCATTCGGTAAGCGACCATCGTAAAACTGATCTTGGCCATCGTATTGCAGTTAATTTTTTAACATTGTAAAACTGATCAAACGTACTGTATATAGATCCATTGTATAATGGTCATTGCCTGTATTGTAATGGTCTTGATCTTGAATTCCAGAACCAGTATGATTCATCCTGTCATGGAAACATGTAGCAAACTCTTGATAATGCAAAATCTTAAATTGTCCATCATGAAGAACAAGACAGTCCCTGTCATTGGTACGAAAGTATTGTATAGTATTGTACAGGGTATTATGTTGAGACAGAACAAAACAAAGGCAAGTGCATATTGAAGAAAAAATATTAACATTTTTCATAGATTTTGGATATTTATTATTCTCTGCTAACATGAATGTTGTTAATAGTTAGGAATACACTAGTACCAGTATACATGACATGAGTACATCTAAAATTGGAATACATTGTGGAAATTAAAATTCCTTATTACATAAATATTGTAATATTTAATTTAACTCCTTAAATGCAATAACATTTGTTTATCTGGCAGCATCTAAACAAGATGGTTTCTTTATTTGTCATAAATTAATTCTTCCCTACTTATCAAAAATATATTAATCTTCATATTTTATATTAACAGTAATAGGCAAGATTTTATAAATTTATAACATGAAAATTTTGTATCAACAAAAAGCCTAAAATATTTTAACAGAAATTCTGTTAATGCAGAAGGTGATCAAAAATACAAATCTTATAGTCAACTGTACTAACTAGCCAAAATACAGCAAAATGTTTCTCTACTGGAAAGGTTTAGCCTTTATCACATACAGTATAACATGCTCTGCCAGAAGTGAAGACGTATTTAGCTGCCATACAGAGAAATTTTGAAGCCTCGTGTTCACAGAAATTCTGCTTAATCAAAATGACCCTGACAGCATCGGCTGTGTCATAGGTAGCAGGTCAGTGTGATGCTCTACTGGCCAGCGTTTGATCCCAGAGCAGTTCTGGTCAAACAGTGGGGTAAAATAAATCTCGACTTGTATGACCAGACACCAACTTTACAGCATCTAACCTACTAGAGAGGCCCCTTCCTTGTGAGAGAATAATGTTACAATATAAAATTATTTTGATTTTAACCTAAAGAGCGTAAAATATGTGTACTATCTCTGTGCAGTGGTGCTAAGACAAGAATGTTAAATATAAAATTACTAAAAGATGCCAGTACAGTACGGCATATAATGAACTTGGAGGGATTTAAGACAATATAATAATGGAAATAGACTTAGAATAACTATACTAAATAAGTTAATACCTCCATAATTATAGTTACCTTATATTTCAATATAAATTTACACATGGAGGATCGATCCATTTTACCTCAATAACAATTTATTCTACATCATTTCTTTAATCTTCACACTCTTAGTCATAGAGATCCATGATTCTATAATAATCACACTGTCTAATAATAAAGTTCTGAAGGTCATTTAGTTTATATACACATGGAACTTTACGAGAGACCAATCCAGATAAAAAATAACAACTGAGGAATAGTGTGGAGGAACAAGTAAATACTACCGTAATAAATACTTAACAAGTGGTAATATCATTAGTTTCAATTCTGTGAGGATCTGGAAAACATATCACAATTACTTTGGGAAATCAAATGAATACTGTAACACGTAAGTGGGAGATGTAAATTCATGAGGCAGTCATTTTTTCATCTCGCCCATTCATCTCTCTCCCATTAATGGTACAGTATTAAATTAAGACCAATGACATCGTATATGAACGCTACACTCATGTAATCTGGCTAGTCATTCCAGCAACAATTTCCAAACTACTGTGAATCAATACAAATAATTTACAAATGTGAACAGGTCTATGATCACAGAAACTCAGTACTGAACAGTCCATGCCACTTATAAGCCACACAGACTGGCAGCCTTGAAATTCCTTACAAGCAACTTAGCTGGGCCCAACCCTCTCCCACCTCCCGTAACATACAAACCAGGCAATTAATCGGTAATCAGACAAGGTGTACAGTCAACGCTTATCCCCAAACACGTTACTATGGATAGGTTTTAGAAACAGAAATAAAATACATTTCTAAAGTTATTTATCCATGCTAATGTATTCAGGGGTAAGTGCTGACCTTACACAGAGCCTTAAAATGTGTCAAGGACTACCTACAGTATACTGAGTAGGGGCAGATCCAGGAATATCAAAAGGGGGAGGGGTCCAAGAAGTTGTGGGGGGAGGGGACATGGCAAGCACAGCGAGCTCACCCAGCTGGGGGGTTTAGGGGAGGGCTGTAAGCCCCCCCCCCCTCCAATGATTTTTTTTAATCTGACCAATATCATGGGCATTTTGAAGCCATGCGCACAATACTGCATTAAAGAAAAAGTATTGGAATTTTTGGTGAAAATAGGGATCTGGACCCCAGGACCCCCCTGGATCTGCCCTTGCTGAGATTATAAGTAAAATCTCATAACAAAACTGCTCAAATTAATCAGGGAAATTAATTATCCAATTTTCAATCTCCATTGACTTTTAAAAAATTAATTATTTACCAGAATTTAAACTTTTTGAACACAGACCTTTAATCTTCCCATCAAGGAATACCAATACAGTACTAAGATTTTGAGCAAAATAAATTTGTCGATCCCCCCAAAATGTAATTTTCAAAATTTCAAGCTCCAGTATAAAGTCAACGCTTACCCTTGAACAGGTTAGCATGGAAAAGCATTAACTTTACACCTTGGCTGAACACCGATTAATTGCCTGGTTTGCATGTTTCGGGAGGTGGGGGAGGGATGGATCCAGCGAAGTTGCCGTTTAGGAATTTTGAGGTTGCCAGTCTGTGTGGCTTATAAGCGGTGTGTGTACTGTACATCCTTAGTGAATAACAAACTGGTTTAAAATATTTCTGGCACTGATGTGAACTAACCGTGGCATTGTAATTAACTAATTCATTTTCATACAAATTGACAGTTCTTTCTACTACAATGTGACCATAAACATCACCATGAATTATTGTGAAGATGGCTTACGGCAAATGCCATCCGGGTATCTTTCCTTAAAAGCTTTTACAAGGTCTTCCTCCAGTAGGTTGACGCCCTCTAACTGATTCCCAAGTGTGACCCTGAAAAGAAAGATTAACTAATTAGGTCAATAAAAACAAACCAGAAAAGCCATTAAGAGATGTAAGAACATAACAAGAGTTAAACTGACTATGTTTGGGGTGAGAGTTGTGAAATATGACTCAGTGAATTTGCGAGTGAAGGTGACTACACTTTCCATTAGTAACTAAAAAAAAAAATAACCGATAAAGCATAACAATTTATTCATTACACAGCTATTATATTCTAATTTTTTATTTCATATGCCTTGATAAGATATATTTAGATTTGTCCTTTTTGACTCAATATCCTTAATCAGGAGGTTGCAGACAGCCTTTGTATGAACAAAATCTATAATGTTACTAATTTTGCTGAAGCTCAAGATAATAAGGTCAGGCTTTATGTAAAAAAAAAAATATCTAGAAAGTGATAAGTAATGAATTTAAATGGTAGAGTCAGTTAATATTCATGGTAAAATATCTAAAAAAAATTAAAACTAACAGATATACCACAATTTACATTGAAATATTATAAGGTACTTTAAATACACTATTTCAAGGGTCAATACTTAGTACTTATTATTGTCAATTTTCACCCCAAAATCCTTTCTCAGTATTGTATGTCAAGGAGTACCTTTCTATGACGCTTGAAAAAAATCTATAATATGTCCAATTTTGCCGAGATGCAAGATAATACTGTAATATGTAGGGCATCATTTAATGAAAGAAGAATTTCTATCTAAAAAATAAAAAGTTAAATTTTCATTGTTAAAGTCTCTCATGGTAAAATGTATAAAAACGTGATTTAAGGCTGGGAGAACACATGTTTTGTGTTGTAAACAATACAGGAGTATAAAGACGTGCTGGTTAGGGATCTGGGTTCAAAATTGTAATATTTGCAAAATTAGCATTACAGTGACCCCTCGTTTAACGAACGCCTCGGTTAACGAAATTTTGGTTAACGAACTGCCTTCCATAAGGATCTTCAATTCGGTTAACGAACAAAAATTCGGTTAACGAATTTCTTACGAACCGACCTCAACATGTTTTCGCTTGCACTGACCGAGCAATCAGCTTTAGTATCAGTCCGCCAATACATTAATCGGTTCTAGGGCTTAAATTCCTTACTATTTTAGTAAATATCAAGAAGTTTATACTATTCAATAATTTTAAAAGTTTAATATTCAATTTTTTAGTCATTTTAACAATTATTGAACATAATTGAAGGTAAAGAAACTAGTTTCTGGCACGCCATCCAGCCTGTTAACACACCATACAGGCGTCAGTCTTTGTGTCTTTTCAGTGGAGGCAACATATTGCTTGAGACTCTCTTCAACTAAATGCTTTTTTTCTGTGTTTCTAAGCAAATTATTGGTCATTTTGAAATTTATTTTACATATTGACAATATATAATGCAGTGCAGTGTTGATTTAAAGAAAATAATCTTGAATTACACCAAGAGAACTAAAATTTTATGGGTGAAATGGCGCCATGGGGTGACTTCTCTTCCACCCCAATGCCTTCTCTTCTCCCTTCTCCTCCTCCACCTCCCACTTCAAATGCACATCATCATCATCATCCAGGAGCCTTCTACATACACACTTCAAAGTAAGTGAACTTTTCTACCATTTTTGTTGAATTTAGGAAACTTTCGGTGAGCTGGAACCAATTACCCAAAAACCCATTGAAACATTGGTTTCGGTTAACGAACTTTTCGGTTAACGAACGACCTTCTGGAACGGATTGAGTTCGTTAACCGGGGGGTCACTGTAATTAACAAGTAGTGAAATAATTAAATACATTTTGAATATTTAAAATGTCAGTTACGCTGTACCCGTTAGTTTTATATCACCTTTACATATATTTTCTCAGTACAAAAGAGCAGCCGTAACATTTACCGGTAAATACATTAGTTTTCCTTTTCCATAAAAAATGCCATATTGTCAGAGAAGAGAGCGCCTTGCGTTTCGGCATATGTGGTCAGGACGTAGATTTTGTTGAAATTTCATACAAAGGTACTCTTTTGCGTGCTGGTTAAGGATCTGGGTTCAAATTTATAAAATTTGAATAATTAATATTAATTAATGTGCAATGAAATAATTAAATACATTTTGAACATCTGAAACGACAATTACACTGGATCGATTCTCCAGGTGTAAATTTATATTAAAATAGAAGGTAACTATAATTATGGAGGTATTAACTTATTTAGTATAATTATTCTAAGTCTATTTCCATTATTATATTGTCTTAAATCCCTCCAAGTTCCCTATACTGTATACTGTACTGTACTGTACAAGCATCTTTTAGTAATTTTATATTGTAACATCATTCTGCTCTGGGATCGAACACTGGCCAGTAGAGCATCACACAGACCTGCTGCCTATGACACAGCCGATGCTGTCAGGGTCATTTTGATTAAGCAGAATTTCTGTGAACACGAGGCTTCAAAATTTCTCTGTATGGCAGCTAAATACGTCTTCACTTCTGGCAGAGCATGTTATACTGTATGTGATAAAGGCTAAACCTTTCCAGTAGAGAAACATTTTGCTGTATTTTGGCTAGTTAGTACAGTTGACTATAAGATTTGTATTTTTTATCACTTTCTGCATTTACAGAATTTCTGTTCAAATATTTTAGGCTTTTTGTTGATACAGTACAAAATTTTCATGTTATAAATTTATAAAATCTAGCCTATTACTGTTAATATAAAATTCAATATGCACTGTGCCTTTGTTTTGTTCAGTCTCAACATAATACAGTACTATACAATACTTTCGTACCAATGACAGGGACCGTCTTGTTTTTCATGACGGACAATTTAAGTTTCTGCATTATCAAGAATTTGCGACATATGTTTCCTATGCTAAAATGATTTCTGCAACATATCTTGAGTACTGTATCATGTACAGTTGCTTCCTGGTGTGATTTTAACCCCTACCTTGCCTCCCTTAGTCATGTGGCACCATCACGCTATTCATGTGGCACCGTTGCATTACTCATGGCTAGGGAACTGATTGATCGGGCTGTTTCCTAGTATTGTACTGAACTTGCTTTTGCCAGTATTTTAATACATGTATTAATATTTGAAAGACAAAAAAAGGAAAAATACATATTTTGGTTTCTGTATTATGATATATGATGCTACTTACAAAAATACAACAACCCTGTGTCAGGCAGTACTGTACATTACTGTACCAGAATACAATCAACCAGGAATATTCTTCAGTTAAAGCAGTATTAAGACATAAAAAGTGATTACAGTTACATATACAGTAATGTACTGTTCAGTATATACACAGTACCGTGCATTGCAAAGTGGACAGTGTATGCCTACTGCAACCTAGTGTGTACAATGCCTAAAGCTATGGAATAAAGCAACACAAAGCAGGGCATCCTGTATTATCATATCACCATTTGGCCTGCTTGCATCATAACCTCAAGACGACAGCATCTGCTGGTGGGTACAGTACTGTATAGGATATACAGGTATCCCTCAAGACACTAATGGGTAAGGTGAATTTTCATATCTTGATTAGAAAAACATATGGAAAAAAATAGGGTTTGGTTCCCCAATGACAAAAATACCCCAATATCATACCTCCAAAACACGAAATTGGTTCACAAAGAAGAACAAAACCTACTTAATTACTGATAAATTCTACACAACTACTCAAATTTACTACCAAACACCTGAAAAATAATAATACAATACTGTTAACTTTGGTACATTACCTTATGGGAGGGCGTAACACATGCAACCCACACAGGATGCGCGGGAGATTCTACCAGGCTAAGCAGTTGAAATGTGTCACATCGCCCAGAGGATGGCTTGTGTGTGGAAGAACTTATTCTTTGTACATAAAATAATATATTGTATACTGCATTAGTAAATGTGAGGAATGAAGAAAAATAATAATAAATAAAATAAAATAAAAATAGTGTTGCTATTTGGCAATTTTGTCACTAGCATGAGACAGCAGAACCGACTCTCTCGTGCTAGTTCTCCACATGTAAGAAATCTTTATTCCGTTTATGTTTTTGACCTCACGATAATTATTTTAAAATATTATTTGCCCATTGTGTATGAACGATTGTGTGTGCACGTAACAGATACAAAAAAAGGTAACTACCCGAAATACAGCACAACTCACAGCTTGATTGAGATCCCGACATCGAACCCCCCACTGGCTCCTACGATCCACACCAACTCCGGGGATGTAACAAATGTTTATTCTCTTTATGTTTTTTACTTTATTATAATGATTTCCTTATTTTTTTTTTCTTTTGCACATTCTGAATGAAAGATTGGGTGTGTACGTAACAGTGAAAATAAATACAGTATAAATAAAATTATGTATGTCTACCCAGCTTTGTGATATGTCCCACACACATAAGAAATGTTTTTTCCCTTTATATTTTGGACCTTATGATACTTTTTTTGCACAATCTGTATGTAGGCTTGTGTGTTTGTGTGTATATGTAACTGAGTGAAAAAAATATGAAGAAGGTTATGTTTATATACCCAAAGCTACGAGTTGAAAAATAACCATAACATAACTCTTACTTCAGACTGGTAGGAAGAGCACTTTGGGGATGTGGCCGCCCCAGCTGACTCCCGGGGGTGTGTGAGTTGAATTTTTGCCGGAATGCAATGTCGTATAAGTGGGGAAAGCTTCCATAATAGGAAATAGTGGTGTCAATTTAGGAAATTCATATAAACAAATATTTGTACCTCGAACGTTCATATCTCGAGGGATACCTGTACAGTGGTACTATATCTTGTTTATTTACCATATTGTATACATATTGTGCAAGTACAGTGATCCCTCGGTTAACGAGATTTCGGTTAACGATTTACCTTCCATAAGATCCTTAACTTCGGTTAACGAGTTTTTTACGAGCCAACCTCAACATGTTTTCGCTTGCATTTGGCGGTCCACCAGCTGTAGTATTAGTCCGCCAATACAGTAATCGGTTTTAGGGCTTAAATTCCTTACTATTTTAGTAAATATCAAGAAGTTTATACTTTTCAATAATTTTAAATGTTTAATATTAACTTTTTTTGTCATTTTAACAATTATTGAACATAAGTGAAGGTAAAGAAACTAGTTTCTGGCATGCCATCCAGCCTGTTAACACACCAAACAGGCGTTAGTCTCTCTCTCTTTTCAGTGGAGGTAACATCTTGCTTGAGACTCTCTTCAACTAAATGCTTTTTTTCTGTGTTTGCAAGCAAATTATTGGTTATTTTGAAATTTATTTTACATATTGACAATATATAATGCAAAGCAGTATTGATTTAAAGAAAATAATCTTGAATTACACCAAGAGAACTAAAATTTTATGGGTGAAATGGTGCCATGGGGTGACTTCTCTTCCACCCCAATGCCTTCTCTTCTCCCTTCTCCTCCACCCCCATTCTAATTCCCATCATCATCATCATCATCATCATCCAGGAACCTTCTACATACACACCTCAAAATAAGTGTACTTTTCTACCTTTTTTGTTGAATTCAGGCAATTTTCGGTGAGCTGGAACCAATTACCTAAAAACCCATTGAAACAATGGTTTCGGTTTTTCGGTTAACGAGCAATCTGCTGGAACGGATTGTGCTCGTTAACCGAGGCACAACTGTACAGTAGTGTTTGCATTAATAAATACAGCTCTGTGTGTATCCAATTGCAGTTAAGCCTCCGTACCAATGGCGATCCGTGCCAGATGCCTAGTTTAGATGTGGAAACAATCACAAGTGCCCCCAAAAATTCCATAGATGAGCAATTTTTTCCAAGGATAAGAAATTTCGTCTCAATACCCGGAAATCTCCCAAACCCAGAAACACTGCACCAATTGATCCAGCTAATGGGGATATTACTACAGTACAAGTATTTGCATTTGGAGTTTTAGACCCCATCTCCTTAATCCACACATACACACATACCAGTTTGGTTGTACATTATGGGGTCGTCCAAACAGCTCCAGTTTTCGTGTGCCTGGCGAAAGTCGCTCGATTATGCCGTAAATTTCATCTGGCTTGTGGCTAGTGGCTCGAACTTCAGCTACGATGACATCTCCATCAAGACCACGGTTTATCTTCGGGTTCCCTTTCATGCCAACCTGTAACCCAAATTTCATGTAGTTAGTGTGCTCATAATTTCATGTCTTTCATTTACAAAATATTACTACTTTACAACAAAACCAGAAACACACCTACAAGATCATGTTGAAGGTGCTGATGGGTCCATAATCCAAGCATATGAAAGAGTGAACCAACAGATTATGATATACTAGCCAAGAATTACACTGGACCTGGTATTATAGTCATGTCAAACTGCTCTGTGTCATTGCAGTGAGACTATCGTGTGTGCATTGATGGTGGAACATGACATAAACAGATCAAAGATACAGATGGACACATAAAATTTAAGTACTTGTAAAATGTATCTATTATCCACTATACTTTAATAAAGCATCTATAACCTACCCTGCACTGCATTATCTAAAAGCACCACAATTATTCAGTTTAGCTATTAATATGTCCATAATAGTCACCAGTTCAGTTTACTCTACCAGCAATGTTCAGGAACGTTTATTAAAAAAAATTATGTGCAAATACCAGATGAGGATTTTCAACTAAGTGAATGTATAATAATACGAATGAACAAAAGTAATAAGAAACAACAAAAAAGTCATTGTCCTTTCTATTAAAGCACTAAATAGGAGACAAGAAAGTGACACACAGTTACTGCATTCTTATTTATAAAAGTATTAAATAGACAAAAAAAAAGAGTGATACTATATATCGAGGTGGTATGGACTTGAAGAGCAGGTGATGACAGAGGCTAGTAAGAGTGATTCTGACAGAGTTCAGTGGATGTAGAGAAGAGGAGCAGTGGTGTAGTGTCAAGAGGAGGGAGATACAATACTAAGCTTGAACACATCTTGAACAGCAATGAGGTGTTCCAAGAGGTAAACAAACAGGAAATATACAAATGGAAATGAAGGCCAATAGCGGGATGTAAAGTCTGATGATACGGTGCTTACAATATGCAAAGTCAGATCACCTTCAGATTAGTCGGCCCAGCTTCTTACACCTGAAGATTAACCACCCTAGCACTATCTAAGGGTTAGGTTGGGGCAGCATTAGGGTAGTTAATCTTCAAATCAACTAAGCTAGAGTGCATAATCATCAGGTGAGTCAAAGTTTAAATTAGTAAAAAAAAAGAACTTACTAAACAATGTTCTTTGCCGTGGTTCAGCCAGTGACCCGTCCTGCCTGTACGGATAATTCGTTGCAATTGATTTGTTTTCACCCAAATTATTTCATCTACTCGCTCATAGCCCCAGAGCTGAAGACACTCACGACCAAGCTCCATCGCTCTGTGGAACATGATAATGTAATAAACACATAACTTAAGCCATAATTTGAACTCGATAATTAAAAATTTCAATATACAGTACAGTACTTAAAATTTCCATATCAATTTTCAGAGTTACAATCAGATAGATCCTAGGATACACCCTATTTCTTATGCCAGCAAGTAGCTTAAATGACAGGTTTAGTTAGATAATAATGATAGGTGTGTTGCAAAGCTTAAAACAAAATTATTCTCAGGAGCTACTACTTAAGAATGGCTGGAGGTCTGGGTGCCAAGGTCCTACATTCCAGCCAGTACTAATGACAACTATAGGTATGTATGGTCAGTTTTGAGAACATTTTTGTCTGCACCAAGAGATAAACAGGAGATAAATCTATGTATAAGAAAGAGTGAATAACTAGAAAAGAAAATACCAAATACAGCGAGATTCAGACCTGCCTGTGACCCACAAAAATATGAGCCCCTCGTCTTGCATTATGGGAATGTTTAGTTGTCTCATTTCGTCATCGGACATTGTGCCATAAGGCAGCTCCATGTGGATATCCCACGGAGGATCTGCCATAATAACAGCAAATTTCCCTGGGAAAATAAAAATGGAAAAGTAAAACTGAAAAACAAATTGAAGCTAATGATCTAATTTAATATAAAATGAATCTGACTTCAACATAGACCTGTAATATAAAAAGAGCAACCAACCACTGTACAGGTATCCGTCAATTTACGATCTCCCAGTCTATGATATTTCACTTTAATGATGGTGATGTATTAAGACCATCACCCTAATTAAATAAATAAAAAATTTTCACGAATGATGGTCATCGCCCGGCCAACACGGAATATTGAGATTGTCAGCTGCAGTCTACCCATATGCTCCCACACAACCCCCCGGTGCACTGCAGTACGTACCATGGTGATCGCACATGCCCGTGATCCTGTAGCTCAACAATTATCAGTCAGTATTAGTCTTCTTACTTATCATTGGTGGTTTTGTTTTTAGCTAATAGTGAGAGGACATCACTAATGTTCACATTGTACCTCTGCTTTGGTGACTGTGAAGTAATTTTTGCTATGTTTTTTTTTTGTAACTGTAAAGTGACTGTAAAGTGTCAGTTGCTATCATTATTCGCTCTGTTTCTGTGACTGTGAAATGAGCAGTGTAACTTTCAAAATGTCTCGGAAGGTCAAGGCACTCAGGAAAACCGTGTCTCTGGAGGTGAAGCTTGACATTGTGAAGTGGCATGAGACTCCCCAGAGGCTGTGTGGGAGTCAGAGAGACATCACTCCACCTTCAAGAGTCTCCTTAGCCTCGGAAGGGACATGTAATGATGACCAGGCTTGTTCTTAATGCTATGGCAAGTCCCTTAATTGTGTTGTATAAATATAGTATAGTATTAGTGTAGGAATTTTTTTCGGTGATACACGTGGGTTTTGGACTGGCTAGAAACATATCCCCCTGAACCCCAAGTTATAATGATCCCGGTTTACAATACATCGACCTGCGATAGGAGGATACCTGTATGTGTCTATCCCAAGCCTCTACCTTTACCATCTGTCTCCATATACATTTCTCACTGCCAAACATCAGGTCAATAGGGGTATAATCTAGGTCATATTGAGCCATTTTCTTATCTTTCTGCTTACTGAAGCTCAATTTACACACATCAAATTTGAAATTCTCTTCAGGCTGAGTGATCACTAGACTCTGTAATACTCCCTTGAATCTAATCTCACACGGTTCCCAGCACGATACTTAGGCTATCTTGATTAGGTCTTCTGGATCACCGGAGGATTAATCACCCTAACCTAACCTGATCCACCTCCCAAAAGTAATATTAATGTGTTTAATCATCAGGTGAAATAAACTGGGTTGTCTAATCTTCAGGTGATCCAGTCTTTTGATTAAATTCATTATTTGAAGGGAATGTGTGAAAACTTTTATACTGACAATAAAACAATGAAGAGATAATGAACCTTCACCTAGTAAAGACATACAGTATCTAGAAACCTATGATAAAAACAACAAAGATATAATGAATGTTCACCTAGTATAGACATATCTAGAAACCTAAGATCACACTGTATCCACTGAGGAGGGAATAGAATGGTCCTCTCATCTGGGCGTGGACGCTCCAAAGGCAGGATGATGGAGGTGGGCTGCTCCTGTTGCTGCTGCTGCTGCTCGGACACCCCTGTATAGTCCACCTCATAATGAACATATCTGACATCAAAGAAAAAAAAGTATTAACAGCATTTTACTTTGATCATACATACTACAATATATACAGATGTTCCTCTACTTATAAACATTCTACTTATCAACTTTCACAGATATGAGCAAACCTATCTTCTGTATTTCTACTGTACTGTATTGACTACAAAATTAATATAACCGATCTATAAAACATTAAAATACTGTTAAAAGGCAGGTAAGATATACTGTAAAATAATATGCTGTATTCATTATTAGGGTATAACTAACCGCACATCCTTTATTTAATTCATTATTATTATTTTCTTACAATGTATTTGGTATCCAGAAGAGGAAGATTGGCCTTACAAACAAGCCTCAGGAACTCAACTCATTTGTAAATAGAAGAGTCCCTGTACTGTATGTAGGGTGATTGAAAAGTCCCTGTGTATTTTCTTTTTCAAGATAATATCAAGTCTAAAATTTGTAAATGACATAATTTAGATGATCACTCTCACCAAGCATGAACAACTTAGGAACTACCACGGAAAAATCTATAACACAAAAGCAGAGGAAATTAAAGGAAGATGATAAGTAACTTTGGTAATACTGTACTGTATCTAAATGAAACAGAACCACAATTAACAACTTTGGAACAGTAATTTCTAAATGAAACAGAACCACAAAAATGTCATAAAATCAATTCCTATCTTAAACCTCAGCACTGAAGGGCATCCAGCTGAGATGAACACAGTAGCGAAAGAAATACTGTACATATAAGAGAGCTGGGAATATTATCAAAACAGACCACTGGCTATCATTTATGACACTATGGTTAAAAAAAATAGTAAAACTCAATGGAAAGAGACCAAAAATTATAATAACAGCCCCTTACAACTGCATAATGTAATGGCATTTATCAAAACACATCATAAAATTCAAATGGACCCTTACAACTGCATATTGTAATGGCATGTATCAAAACACATGTTTATCATTCTAAACAGGCAGTGCAGTATCATACATGAAGAAAAATATAATGCCCTAACCGACAAGTGTCCATGTGGAAACAGGTGTTGAGGAAGGAACAGTCTCCTAAGGATTCGTCAGTGTGCTTCTGGATGATCTTGCGGAAGTGGAGTCGACCGCACTGTGGGCCGGCCTTCTTTGTCGCTCTCTCACACTCCTCTTTGGTGCCGTGTGGACAAAACTCTTGAACTTTTGCTCCTGGATATGTGAAAGTAAGCAATGTGTTAAATCAGGGATAGAGTATGATAAGAATGAATTGGATAACATGAAGATTAGAAGCCCCATTTCTTTTACCTGACAATTAATCACCTAATCAAGCTTAAGCTTACATAAACTTCTGCAGATATCATTAGGATGTTTAATTATCAGTTGAAATAAGTTAGGGAGCCAATTTTCATGTGATCTAAAAATTCATGCTGTATCATATATGCATAGCATGTAACAATATCTTTAATATCTATTATTACTGTACATTTGATTACCTGGGACATGGAATGATCATTAGGCACATCCTATGCATTGTGATATTAATAAACAAGGTAAACAATGTAGCCTATGTAACTCAATCATAACCTCTTCAATATCTAATAAATGTAATGCACCAACTCTTACCTAAACAGCAACACGAATCTTACCTCCCTGAGATTTAAAACGCAGAGCAATACTCTGTTCTTTGGCTGTGGGTTTACTCAGTAGTTCCATTATCTCTTCGCCCACTTTCTTTGTCTCGCGCTCACGTATGCTCTGCGCTGACAACAGGCTCTGAGGATTACAATTACAAAACAATATCATTTGAAGAAAATAAGTAAATTTAAGCTTCCATAAGTGTAAGTGGGAAAGATTATTCTGGCAGGATGAATATATGGAATCCAAAGGTGAGGTGAAAGTATGGAGCAAAGAGTACTTTCATAATGGAAGTGGAAAAGTGAAAGATCATCATCATTGTTTTATGGTCTTTTCTCCATACTGTACTTGTGTGAGTTAGCTGTGATTACCTGATGATAGCTCTCCACGCTGCATGGTCTGTCGCAGCCTCTCTCATCACATTCTTATATCTAAACTTACTTCTCACAACCACTCCCCTTGACTTTCTTGGTCTACACTTAACTGTCCTCCTTTCCACATCTAAACTCATGCATCTTTTTCCCCAGATGGCCGTCTCCACTCTCTCCACAGAATTCATTGTTAATAGTTGGTAACTTTTGCTGGCAGTCAATTTAAAATAAAATCCTGGAGATAAAAGATGTTTAAGTTTTAAAATGTTTAAATGTAAACTTAATATTTCCTCTTACCATGACATCATCCTCTCTAGTTTCCTTTCTTTTATCCTTGTCATTCTTATTCTCCTTGTCTTCCCGTAAAACCTTCGCGGGCGGTTCATCAGATGAGACAGTAATTTTCTCCACCACTGGACTTTCACCTGTAATAAAATTAATACTTGTGTCAACCTTCAAAATAACACATACGGTACAGCAAACTAAAAATAACAATGTAAAACTACTGTGAATGAAACATGAAAAAAAGGACTAAAGAATAACTAGTGGGAGAATAATAATTTCCTCATACCAATCTTCTATGTTGAGATCAAACATTTCACTCTAGACAAAATCCTCAGTTCTGATCTTGTTTCTTTATTACAGAATTGGCCTAACTAAACAAATTATTCTATCCCAATAATCACGTATAAACTTCTGCCAGGTAAGTTATTAATGTCACTAAAATACTATACCTGTAATATATAACAACAATTATATACCTGTTCTCTTAAAGATGCCATTCAGCAACTAACTCTAAATAAAAGACGAGTGGTGTTATGAATTTCAACTATCAATAAGAGAAAAGAAATCATTACTTGAGCTATAACTTCAAAATAACCCTAAGTTAATGTTTTTCCTGTTGACAGAGAGGAAATATATATATACCTTGTTGTGTTGTAGCAATAGGCTGAAGCTTCTTTTCCCTATGTTCAGCTCCCAGGACCGCGGTCACTCGGTTGTGTTGAACAGCAGTCACCGTTATGGTTGTGCGGCCATCCCCAACCTCCTGTGTAATGCTGAAATTTGAGACGAGATAATTAGGGTCACAAATAAGAACAGAAAATTACAAACACACACGAGACAACACAATGCTTCCTATATTAACAAGACAGAAGAATTATACTTGCTTCTGTCCTGTTCCTGACTAAACCTTTTTTTCCTCAGTTGTCTCTCATTATTTCTTCCCCTCAATAGGTTTCTATTTTCCCACTCATACAACAAGTGAGAGATGACTAAAGTTAATAGAAACACAAAGCTATTCAGTAAATGTTGAAAGTACAGTACCGCCACACATTTATTCTGTTAATCAATAATTATATCAGGCAATGGCACATAACTGAATCCACACACAAAGAATTCTATACAGTACTGTACTGTATTTTCTAATGATACTTTTAAATGGTTGGTTTTATAATCTTTCCACAAATATACACAGGGTATTACACAAACTAATAATCTTAACATACAATATATTTCAAATAAGAACATCCCTATTGTATAAAACTTGCAATTTAGAAAAATAATAATAAATGGTTACAGAGGAGGTTATAAATGCCAAAACTGGTCTTTTATGGATCACAATATCTTAACTCATCTTCTTAGAAGACAGTTATTTTCCCAGTACTGTTTTTCACCTATAAATCAGAACCCCTTTGGAAAACAATACTACCTTGACTCCTAATTTTCTGATGCTTTTTGTGTTTTCACAGTAATACATAAATGTATCAGAACTAATCAATTATAAATGATTGGCCAACATATTATATAATATATATAAGAAACAAATTCAGTACTGTATATCATAATCAACAGAACTAAAAAAAGCAACACTAATCAAAACTGAAATTCAGCAAACAGAACTGATACCATAGCTACCCTACAAGCCATTCTTAAGGATCACTACTTACCTTATAAGTTCTTTGTAAGCAAATTTTTGCAAGAGATTATCAATGACTTTTGGTTGTAAATTTCTTCTTAGTTTTGTTGACAAAGTCTGGGAAAGCTGTGCCGACTGTACAGGCGGCAAGGCCCCATTTAAACACTCTAACAAGGCACATTCTAAACTGGAGTCATCATTTCCATTTGGTGTTGCTGCTGCAAAATATGAAGCAACATTAGTCTACATGTATAAATACCAATACAGTATATAGATATATTAACAACAATCAATTAATCCTCGGTCATTGTTTGGATAGGATGGCTTACATAGTCTACTCTCATAAATTACATAACCCTGTAGCCTCCAACAAGTTAGTGAACAAATGAGACATTGATACTTATTTCTGCCCCTAACTCTGCAAAGCCTTCTTTTTTTTTTCTTATAAATCATGGGCCAGAAAACAGACTACTTGCTCAGGCCTTGAAGTATTGTGTTCCTTCCCAAACCAAGAGTAATTCTCTATCCCAATTCATTGACAGTACTGAAAGATGTGTTGACTTTGCTTTCAGTAAAAAACTGCTGGTAGAGATTCCAGTAGTAAGTGTTAAAATTGAGACAATGAGACATTTTTAATAAAATAAATAAATAAATTAACATACAAACGTACGAAAAAAGACAAAAGTCGTGTCTTGAAATTTGGTGAAAACATATGTCGAAAGGCTAAACTTTTGGTGCGCTCCGCCTTGTGGTAGGGGGGTTCTAATAATGTTTCACGGGTTATATTTAATCTTGGGACAAAACCGCGACATAACTTTTGTCTTTGATTATACAAGCCATCTGCAAATATTAAAACTTATAAAAGAGTAAAAAAAAAAAAAAATATCATCACTGACGGGAAAATCTACTTGTCGCCACATTCAAGTATGGTGTCATGATAATACAAAGCAACCAACAGTTTGCTACAATGCTGAGGTGCAGATTTTTGGTGTAATTTAAATAATTCCTCTTCCTATTTCCAATTTTCTTGATGCAGGAAAATAGGTTAAGATTCAGAAAAGGTCAACCACAGAACTCTACAATGATTTGTATATAGCTAGGGAGATAGAGCCCCCCACCCCCACAAAAAATACGCTATCTATACAGCATCATATTTTCATCTGAAATTTATATTTATGAGTTTTTCTGACTTCAATTTCAGGTTTGGCTCTTCAGGTTCCTTACTTCTTTTATCTTCTTGGGTTGTTATATTTACACACCAGGAGGCAGAGCACTCCCAGATAGGAGGTTAGGTCAGGTCCTTCCGATTTCTTTGGCTAGGTTCGGTTAGACAGGTACACTGATATTCGAGAGTTATTAGGTTATAGGTTCTTGATGATCTTACTGTTTGGCAAAATTTTATTTCCTCCACCATTTTTGGGGATGTTCTTGGTAACTAAAGCACTTTTCTTCTATTGAAAAGTTTCCGAATGTGGCTCCTTAGCCCGGGCACCTGTTCTTAAATATTACGCTATTAAAACTTTTCTGTTAGGTAAGGTTTTATCATTTTTTTGTTTTTAACCAACAAATTCTCTCTGCCTTAAAGCCCTGCCCACACAATTTGATCAAATTGCATTTTTTAAGTAAAATAAAAAAAAAAATAAAAATTTCCGACATAAACGCTATCACATACAGTACCGTATTCTTATTTTGTTTGCTCTATCTTCCTTTATACAAAACAGTATAGCATCTCACGGTTAACTTTTTCTGAATCTTCACCAAAGAATATATTGTCTATAATTCAATACAGTATTTATCTTAAGTAAGCAGTTTAGGTGTGGAAGCATTGTATTGAAATAAATGGTAATAGTCGATGACAGTAGTGTACGTTAAACAACAACAAGAGGAAATTTTCTATGGTAGATTTTTTTTTTACCTCAAGAGATTTTTGGTAATATTATCTATACAGTTTTCCATCTGAGACACTTTGCTGCACTGATGCCTTACGGTGCCATGTGCATTGTTTACAACCAGGAAGCTTCACTTCATCCTCAGTAACACTTACAAAACTTACCATATACTGCTACATTATTCAGTATGCGATTTATCAGAGATATAATGAGCCAACGTAACCTTAGGTTTGTTCATCATATTTACGATGAATCACATGTTAAGGACAGATGGGCTTTTCATGAAGTATTAAAGCATTTTTTATCAAAAGATTTACTTAAATTGCTGATTAACATACACCCACCTTTCAGTTAATATTGACGACTGACCTGCGGAGGAGTTATTTGTTTTACTGTTCATTTTTTTACTTTATTTTCATCAGTGAGTTCTGATATGATAATCATTTTTTGTGTAAATGCTTCATTTCATAGATAATTAGGCACCTTAATGCCCACTACTTTGTCTTTTCGACAGTAATGCGGCGGTGATGTCTCATCCCAGACATGTAAACAGCCAATCATAAAGGCATATATCAAAAGACTGCCGCCCGGGCTTGATCAACGCTGATGCTCTGTGTACGCTTAAGAACTGTTTGATATGGACGGCTACTCTCATGTTCACAAAAAAAGTAAAATTACATCATATCATAGTAAGATCTTTCTGTTTAATATACTGGGGGGTCCTAAGGAAGTTAGGGTAAGGTTAGGTAGGTTTGTTTGGTTAGGTTGGTGAGGTCTTCTAACAAATGCTTCTGCTGCTTTGTTTTTCTTATCAACTAAGGTTAGGTTAGGTTTAATTTAGAAATAACCAGTTTTTAATACATTTGCACAAGCTACGACGGTGTCCACTATAAAACAGTGAAATTGCGGCGTTTTTATATTGGTTTTCAATGAAAAATCGGCTGCAGGTCACTCGTCAATAATTACCCCCTTTCTTCCAATAAAATGAAAATAAAATCATCGACATATAGTTACCAGGAACAACAGGAGCTGGGGTACTGGGGTCCACAGGAGGAATAAATGAACTTGGGCTACTGCTGCCGCCTCCCGCAACTGAACTCAGGATGGTCTCTCTCTCCGCTTTTCGTTTTTTAATTTTCTCTCTAAAACTCTCCCTCTTACTCTTCACGAGCTGAATATTAGCCCAAGTCTCGTCCCCCATACTTATCAGAGTTACAGGACTATCAAGACTCACTCAGCATCAACACCTCACACACACACACAGACACAAACGTCAACACGCCTTGACCGTCGGCCTCAGGCACAGTTATCGTTTAACCTCACATAAAACGATATTAAATACACCTTAATTTCGAATAAAAAAAGATCAAGTATGAACAAAATTAGTTCAATTATTTTTAAATTTCATATTTGCTATTCTTTAAAGGTTTACTACAAGGCAGTGCTGGTATATTATTGGGATTATCATACGTGTGTCAACCTCTTAACAACAACACATGTGCGGCCAATCAACGGGCTGTGATGGTGAGCAGCGTGTACTGTACTGTGTATAAGAGTGAACTTGAGCCATTTATGGTAAGGTATTACTTGCCATAACTTTAATCCTCTTCGCCACTGATCGGCTCGCTAGCCGCTTGGGCTGTCGGTCATGTCTCTGTTATGCACTGTTGGCAAATACTTGGCATGTACTGGTATCTGTACCTGAGCCAGTAGTCTGGGCTCACTAAACGAGTCACATTACGTTCCTACGATTTCCACCTATTACTTAACGGATGTTTTACCAACATTTTACGGTAATCGAAACCGAACTTATCGTACTTTCCTACTGGTCTGCTGTCTCTCCTTTTCAGATTTGCCCCGCCATGGGGCTAGTTTATTGGGCAAGGCGAAGCGCAAAAGCGTTTGCAGAGCCCAACTGGGAAGCATGCGGAGTTCACGCTTGTTTTCTTGACTCATGCATTTAAGAGCGTAAGTAGCTGAAGGGCTTTATTATGTTGTACAGTAGTACACAAGAGCTTTCAGAGGTGACCCTATGACGAAATTTTGCGTGTTATCCTTTTAAAAGTGAAATCTTTACGTTTTCTTCAACGTACTAATTCACTTGTTTTCTGTGACAGTGATTTATTATTTTGTGGGTAACTCTACCAAATTGTGTCTAACATTGACACTACATTGCGAGGAACAGGATGACTAATGGATTTGAGAAGATCAGATGGCTGGGTGGGATTGAGGAGACAAAGTAGCTAGGCAGGTTCTTTTTTCTTTCTTATCACGTTCATTGTGGGGTCTTGGATGGCAGCAGCAGTTTGTAGAGCATCTTTCCAACTGAGACATCTGATATTATGTTTGATAAGTTAGATCATGCTGTAAATGGATGCCACACTACGAACTACATTAATACGAAAGGGATTGTTTTGTTCTAAATGGTACAGTGAAACCCGACATCATACAAAAACTAATTCAAATGTCAGCAGCTTGAAAGTCAGTCAGATATAACAACTGAAACAGTTCATGAAGTTGACCAGAATTTGATGTGTGATATCGAAGGCCAGCAAACTGGTAAATACGAAGACCTGAACAAACCTGTATGTCAGAGAGAAAGGAGCCTACAGGGTCGGATCGAGGAATATCAAAAGAGGGATCCAAGAAGTTGTGAGTGGGGGAACATGGTGGGCAAAGCAAGCCCACCCAGTTGGCAAGGGGAGAGGGGGGGGAAGCTGAAAACCCCCAATAATTTTGGGGGGAAATCTGACCAATATCACGGGCATTTTGAGGCCATTTTGAAGCCATGTGCACTTGATATTTTGATGTCAGTAGTAATTACTTTTTACTATGCAAAAATGCCTGAGTGTAATACTACATTAAAGAAAAAAAGAGGGGGTCCGCCTTTGTGGATATGTGCTTCAATTGACTGGTGAAATTGCAGTTTAAGACCCACTAAGTAATCCCCTTTTTTATAATTTATTCTGAGGTAGTATTGCCTCCTCTCTCCAAATATGCATTACAAATTTGTCGAAAATTAATAAGAGAAAGTTGCGGCTATTTTAATTTTGCATTTCGCCTCATAGACCGGGCACGGACAACTAACGTAGAAATGTTAACAAACATCGCTCTTTTCTTCTATTCGTCTCCCACATTTTTAATTGCACACTTGAAAAGAGGAGATCAAAGTACACTAAAACAACTATATAAACAAGGGGGAGTTACTTGATGGTGCTACTTAACAATGAAGTTTATAACAAAGTAACAAATAAGAGACCTGCTGCCCGACTAACAAGTAAGCTAAGTGCTGAAATTATAAATTATACTGTAACTTACCAGCACTGTTTATGAACCAACCACATGAACTATGAACTTACCTTTTCCTGTCTTTTGGGAAGAAATTAAACTTTAGTTCTCTATCATTTCCTATATTTTTCCCACAAACAACACAACTATGGCCGCCGTCTGGAGCCATGTTTATATCTACCTCCACGCCGCGCCCCCCAACACGTGTTAAAACTTAATAAAGGTCCAAATATGTAAGCAAACAGCCGTCAGTGCCATCTCTAGGACAAGCATCGAGTTAATAGGGATTAGTTTACTCCCGTTTGAGGTTTGCTGACCACAGTCTTTTCACTCTAAACGTCCTCGGGCTGGTTTTACCAATCCTTCCCCCACACTCGTCAACAAGAGGACCTCCACTAGTAAAACAACCACACAACTACTCCTCAATTGCCAGTAATAAACAGGTTAGACTAATAAAATTGACAATAAACAAGAGACTAGACGGTAAACAATAAACAGGATTTCAAGGATGTAATAAAAGACCAAATTAGCGTGACACATTTTATTGTCTTTTTGGCATCTGACACAACATGGATAAGACCTGGCCGGACAGATGAGCCGGTCAGCTGCGGGCCAGACCAAACACACACAGATACACGCACAATCACTCACTAGCGCGCTCATTATGATCCCACTTGTGTGTGATAAGTTACCACTGTTTACAAAATGGGAAACTCCTGAAATTCAACATATTTTTTATGATCTGAATGAGCATCTATGCACACACGTTTAAACACATACAGACGCAAGAAGGTACTCACAAACACACACACATACACCTACAGCCACGCATATACACACACGCATGCACACACAATTCAGGCACATACATGAAGGGACATACATACATATCCATACATACACATATACTACATATCCATACATACACATATACACTATCAAATTCCTAAAATACACAATTGGAATATAATTTTCTAGTAAACGATTTTAAAATATTATTATATACAATACTATAAAAAGGGTTCAGCACACAAGGGATTGTTGAGTAAAACAAATGTGTTGACTTACAGTATTCAGAGTCATGATTTAGACGTTATCCCCAAAACAACTTGGCCTTTGTTTGAAATTTTCTTTACAAATGAAGGAAGTTCCTCTTTTTTTCATGTTCACCGATATGGACATTAATAAAAAAATAATATTTATCAAACACGTACAGATAACCTCTTCTTGCCGTCCGTGCTTGAAGGTGGAGCCACGTACAGTAATGACAAGTGCTGACGTTATCACGGTCTAGCCAATTAACAAATAACTTGTTGTACACCAAACAGAAAGCCAGTTACAAACGATGTTGCTACCCGTATCTAAATACTATAGCTGTGTTTATATAGATATATTAATATATGATGCAACCGTTTTTAATTTAAAGCAGGAGTTACAGAAACATTATATTTGAAAGGATGTTTGTAACCTTTGAGATTTATAATCGTTTTGTGGTAATAATTAACATCATGAAATGCGAATATACGGACAACATCACTTAAACATGGCAGACGACCTTTTAGCAGCTGATATCAGGAGTTTATTATTGTTTTCGCTTATCTCGTTGCACAGTTGGTGTTTTATATACAGGATCTATGCCACCCGGTAGTTGTTAAATATTGTTAAAACAAATTCCCAAAAGCTTACACAAAGGTAAATTAATTTTCAAATATGATCTTAAACTTCAAGAGCGATATATTTGAAGAAAAAATCGTTTTAACCCCAAAGAGTATTTATTCCAAGAGCTGGAAATAAAATTTGAAATTATGAATTCTCAAAGGGAAAAATTCCAAAGGTTGAGACAAGATCATACGTGTCTATTGGTCTGTCTGTCAATAGCATTAAGCATGTCTTTAATAATCAATAATTTTACACCATAAACTTATATACTGTAGAAACATTAAAGTTATCTTGTCTCCTCAAACGTGATATAGCATTTGGCAAACTTTCGATGAGGTAATGTTAAATATGGAATAAATAATGAAGGCACAACTCTCTAAAATATCCAGAGGAGTTGCTTATTTGTGGTCGAATGCACCGAATACACTGTTGATATTTGTATGAAAAGCTCTCACTCTTGGGAAAAAACTCTTGGTATTCTACTGAAGGGGTAATAAGAGCATGAGAAGCCCTTACTCTTGGGGAGAAGCTTCTGTTTTTCGTGTTTTTTTCTGACAGGTTCACAAGTGCTGGATTTTTTTTTACATCAGTGAGTAATTTTAGGGAAACAGACATAAAAAAAAAATCACTATTTCCACCCCAGTACCTTGAAGCTCATTGGAGGACTCAGGTGAAAAGCGCACTACTGCTGCCGTGGACCTCCTGACGAAGGCTCCCCCCTCCTACGTATACCACCACTACACCATCCTAACAACACAGTCGAGTGCTATCATCTTCATGTCAACATTCTCCTGCCGTCTAGAGCTCTTAACGAAACTTCAAAGTATTCTGAAAAGTTTATGTTTGCGATTCTGAAAGATATTGCGATAATAATTCAAGTAATAGGAAATCCTTTTGGAAATTTCGTCAAATGACAATAATTTCACCTTTTCAGGAACGTTCTACTGAGTAAAAGGGAATCACTGATAATTTTTATTAAAGTATTAAGTCGTTGTGGTAAGTTAAACCTGAATTGAAAGCTGAGACTAACTGAAGGTAAAAGGCCTGAGCGATAAGGGGAATCCTAACTGAATAGTCACTCAAGGAGGTTCTACAGGAAGTCAGGATCCATGAGGGCTGCTGCTCCTCCCCCAGCAGTAGCGCGGCGCCTCACCTCTCATATAATACTGACGGAGCCAAAGGCCACGAATAAAACTTTCACTGGAGAAACTTTTGACACTATAACAAAACAGAAAGAACCATCTGTCTAACTTTGTGGTGAAGGTATGGTTCAGGAACACCAGTGGGCTGAGGAGAGGGCCTCTCTCCCAGGACGGCCTCACCCCTCCGTTCATGAGTTCCAGTAAGTCTTAACTAGGGCGACTATAGGCTAGGAATTATTAATCTTGTTTCTATCCTCTACAGTATACCAAACAGTGAAGGAAGTTACCCTCGGTGAGCCCCGGTGTTTACCGAGGACAGGAGCACACACACACACACACACACACACACGCACGCGTTCACGACTCTTACATATAAATACTACACCTCTAGGTAGTTATGTACAATAAAGTGACATTACTGCTCTATAATTTATAAGAAATAATAAAAAAAGGAATGCAATTTTTCATACGGTAAAGACCTTCTGTTCTAGGAGAAAAATTGCACAGGGGAAAATACCACTACAGAGATGAGTGAAGTCAATGATACAAAAAGTTATGATACATCAAAAGTAATTGAAATTTATATATAAAAATCAACAACTATTTACATTACACACGTTCCTTTGAACGGTACGTTCAGAGGAACGGCATCCGCTCAAGCGAACACCTTAGGAAAGACTTGGCTAAGTGGCTAATTGGTTGCCAATCGTGACCTCGCACACAGATGGGATGAGATGATTGGCCGATACACTGCATATGACCCCGCCCACTGCCAGTAACCCGCCAATCATTATTCATTGTGGATTTACATGAAATATATATATATATATATATATATATATATATATATATATATATATATATATATATATATATATATATGTGTGTGTGTGTGTGTGTGTGTGTGTGTGTGTGTGTTCATGGTTCTGAATAAATAGTATAAAACGATTGTCAGGGAACAACTTATATTACGTTTCAGAAATACTCATAAATAAATATTATCATCCGAGGTTATTATGAAACTATTGAATAAGTTGATTTATCTGATGGTAGTGTGGCCCTGGTGTGTTTTGAGGAGGGTGAGGCCGTGTGGCCCTGGTGTGTTGTGAGGAGGGTGAGGCTGTGTAGCCCTGGTGTGTTGTGAGGAGGGAGGGTGAGGCCGTGGCCCTGGTGTGTTGTGAGGGAGGGTGAGGCCGTGTGGCCCTGGTGTGTGAGGTGAGGCTGGCAGAGGCTGTGTGGCATAGCGTGTTGTGAGGAGGAGGGTGGGCCGTGTGGCCCCGCTGTGTGGCCCTGGTGTGTTGTGAGGAGGAGGCCGTGTGGCCCTGGTGTGTTGTGAGGAGGGTGAGGCTGTGTGGCACTTAGTGTGTGTTGTGAGGGAGGGTGAGGCCGTGGCCCTGGTGTGTGTGTGGAGGAGGGTGAGGCTGTGGCACTTAGTGTGGGAGGGTGAGGCTGTGTGGCCCAGTGTTTAGTGTGTGTGAGGGAGGGTGAGGCCGTGTGGCCCTGGTGTGTTGTGAGGAGGGTGAGGCCGTGTGGCCCTGGTGTGTTGTGAGGAGGGTGAGGCTGTGTGGTGAGAGTGTATCATGTACTGTCAGGTACAGAGTGTTGTGTGGATGTGGGTGGTGGAGGGGCAGGGAACGTGCAGTGTGACCGGGGTGGGGGTGGTTGGTGGTGGGTGGCTGGCCGCTGCCCTCCAGGTCTCGGAGGGCCCTGGGTACTGGTCCCCACTGGGTGAGGCACCCCTTGGCACCGAATCCCATAAGGACATCAGGCCTTTTAGGGGCGCCATCCCCGCGCCGTCGCCTCGCCAGCAAGCCGCCGCCGCAGCTGGGAGGGCCTTGTGCCGCCACCCACCTCCTCCCGCGTCTCCCACCCGCATGCGACCGAATCCACTATTGGTGTTAAGGAGCCCCCTAGGTATCGGCATCTTTTAAAGAGGGAGCTCCTAAGATGTAAGGGCGGAGGGCTTCCTCTGACGAAGGTCCTCCCCGGATGACAGGGCTTCTTATGTCTGGGGCCTACGTAAGTGAAGCCACAGAGTGTGTGAGGTCACCAGGGCATGAGGAACCCTCGATCAACGAAGCCACCAAGTGTATGAAGCCACTAGACATGTAAGGGGCCCTCCAGGTGTGTGAAGCCCGAGGTGCCCCGTGAGGTGGGTTGGCCCCGCGCCATCTTGGGTATGGGGTGGGGCCTGGGGTGCTTGAAGCCTTCACCTGGCGTGGCTCGCGGCCAGGTACGCCCCCCGCGCCCTTCACTAGCGACCGCTGCACATCTCCTTCTGTGAGCGACAGCAGTTCTTCTGGATGTAACGGTGACCACAGTAGCGGAAGCCGTAAGACCTCAGGAACTCCTGACAGGTAAGACTTCCCGCGATGTTGGCGATCCTGTCCTCACACTCCCCGTCTGTGAGGAAGACTATCGTTATCTGGAGGAGTCAAGTCATCGTACTCAAGGAACTAAGTTATCGTACTCAAGGGGTCATGTCATACTGAAAGGATTACATTACTGTACTCAAGGGGCTAAGCCAGCCTACTTAGGGGGTTAAATCATCATACTAACCAGGCGCTTTAACCGGATCCTTATAATTCTTCTTTAAGTCCTTGGGCGGCGAGGGTGTGGTAGTAGTGGTGGTTGTGGTGGTAGTGGTAGTAGTGGTGGAAGTGGTACTGGTGGTACTGGTGGTAGAACTGGTGGACTTAGTTCCCTGATCCCACCTGTTACGATCCCACCTGTTCCACCAATTAGATCTACTGTAGAATGGGGAGGGGAAAGGTGGAATGTGGATAAAACTGGAGTTTGGCAATAGTATACACGTCATCTTTGTCTACAATTCATATACAAAAGCTATAAGAAAAAGTTATATTCTATGGAGAAAATTAAAAAAGAAAAACAAATTATATACGATTGAAACTATACATAATCTGAATAGAATTATATACATAGAAAATTATATATATAAAGAGAGAGAGAGAGAGAGAGAGAGAGAGAGAGAGAGAGAGAGAGGAGAGAGGGTAGAGGTAGGAACAGGTTTGATCTGAGTCGACTGGAATATAAAATGTTCTCCGGATCTGTCAACAACAATGAACACGAGTTAATAGTCACACTAACACGTGATTTACAATAGTTAATAATCACACTAACACGTGATTTACAATAGGTAATAATCACACTAACACGTGATTTACAATAGGTAATAATCACACTAACACGTGATTTACAATAGGTAATAATCACAATAACACGTGATTTACAATAGGTTATTTATATAGGTTATTAATGCACTATTTATTAAGTTAAATATAAAGAGAGACGTATACATTCCTATTCTTCCTCCTCCTTCTCTTCCTCCTCATTTACCTCTCCTCTTCCTCCACTCTTCTTTATCCTCCTTCACCCCTCTTCCTTTTCCTTCTCTTCCTCCTTCACCCCTTACCTGCTAATATCAAAGTCAGAGATGGAGTTGCCATTATCAAAGACACATCGGCCATTGCTGCAGATCTTCCCGTTGCCGCAGTCTGACCCCTCGGCGGCAGGGCGGTAGGAGACGCAGTAACCGCTGGAGGAGTCGAAGCAGAAGAGCTGGGCGCACACACGGTCATCCTTCTGCAGGAGCGAGGCGAGGAGGGAGACACTCATTATTAGGAGGTAGATTAAGGGAAGGGAGGTAGGTTAAGGGAAGGGAAGTAGATTAAGGGAAGGGAGGTAGGTTAAGGGAAGGGAAGTAGATTAAGGGGAAGGGGGAGGTTAAGGAAGGGAGGTAGATTAAGAGGAGGGGGTAGATTAAGGGGAGGGGGTAGATTAAGGGGAAGGAGGGGAAGTTAAGGGAAAGGGGAGAGGTTAAGGGAGGGGTAGATTAAGGAGGGGTAGATTAAGGGGAGGTAGATTAGGGGAAGGGGGGAAGTTAAGGAAAAGGGGGGAGATTAAGGGGAGGGAGGTAGATTAAGGAAAGGGAGGTTAAGGGAAGGGAGGTAGATTAAGGGAAAGAGGGAAGAAAGACGAGATGGGAGATAATGAAAAGGGAATAAGGAAAAAAATGTAAACTAGAGAAAATTGATAAGGAGAGAAACTATGATAATTAATTAGTGTAGAGAGAACAGGTGGAGATAGCAATTAGCACTTGTGTTTAATTAGCCTCCAGGTAATGAGTGTGGGTGTGGGGGGGGGGGCAATACCTGACAACATCAACAGTGGTTTAGTGATTTAGTTTGTTGTCAATGGTCTTTAGTCTGTTGTCAGTTGTTTACAGTCTGTTGTCATCAGGATATTGTACAGTCTATCGTCGATTGTCAGTAGTCTATTGTTTGTCTGTAGTCTATTGTTTGCTTGTGGTCTATTGTTTGTCTGTAGTCTATTGTTTTTCAGTAGTCTATTGTTTGTCAGTAGTCTATTGTTTGTCTGTAGTCTATTGTTTGGTTGTGGTCTATTGTTTGTCAGTAGTCTATTGTTTGTCAGTAGTCTATTGTTTGTAAGTAGTCTATTGTTTGTCTGTAGTCTATTGTTTGTCTGTAGTCTATTGTTTGTCAGTAGTCTATTGTTTGTCAGTAGTCTATTGTTTGTAAGTAGTCTATTGTTTGTCTGTAGTCTATTGTTTGCATGTGGTTATCGCCCAAATATTCACAGCTGATCATTGTCCACCATCGTCCAAGTTCTGGTCGTCTTTCAATTGTTTTTTTCGTCATGTCACTTGTGGGTGTAGGTCGTGGATTGTAGAGGTTGTACGTCGTGGTTCAAAGCGGTCGTGGTGCGTAGAGGTCGTAGTTCACAGTGGTCGTGTCGTGTTGTCGTTTTTTGGGGAGAAGTTGATTATACTTACAAAACACGCCGAAGTTCCACGGTCTTTCTTGCATTGGGCGTCGAGAGAGAGCAGCTTGCCTGGTAATACTCGAGGTAGGGACTCGTCCTCGTGGGGTAAGTTGTACAAGCATGTAGCTGTGTCTCCGCTGAGGGGTGGAAGAGTGACCGAAAATATGTTAAGTACGTCATTATAACCTGATACATTATTAGATTTTAGATTTTTTTAGATTCCCCAGGTAGTTGTATTGGTAGCTTTTTGCTATGGATTCAAAACTACAGTACAAGAATTGAGGTATAAAGTACAGGGGGGGGGGTTGTAATACACTGTAACTTACTTGAGGAAATGGTGGAACTGTTCAACTGAGCATGATGACCACCTAAAGCCCTTCTCTGTATGTCTCAAGTCACTCATGATGTAGCCGTCCTCCCAACGACATCTTCGAGCACCTGGACCCCCAAGATAGGAAGGTGGGGGAGACCCATCGTGAACTGCCCCCAATCTGCAACACACACACACACACGTCATGAGTGTTATGAAAATATCCTTAAAAATCTTAGTAGTTGTTATGATAAAATGGTAGATTTAATACAGACACAGACAGACAGATAGACACACATATCTGGAGAAAGTAAACTTGACAACATTAACGATGGAAGACAATCTCTCTCTCTCTCTCTCTCTCTTTCTCTCTCTCTCTCTCTCTCTCTCTCCTCGTACTAACAGGTAAGGAATACTCACAGGTGTCCAACTTCATGAGCCGCGACAATGATGCCAGAGAAACCCCCAGTGTCCTCCACGATGGCCACCGAGTTGACCTTCTGCAGCCTCTTGTTGACGACACAGGCTCCTCCCACGTAAGCGAATCCTACCCAGGGCACATAAGACAGGTCATCTCAACTGATACATACACCATCGTCTCCTTTACACCGTGTTTACTCATCTGTTTATCTACGTTAGTTATATTTCGTTTGTTTATTTATTGAATTGTTCTGTCATCATTTGAAAGGTTTGTTGAATAATCTGTGTTCTTATTTTGAGGATTGTTTTGGTGTTAAGTGTGTATTGACGAATTGGTTCATGTTATTAACCCAATGATGTAAGGGTTATGGTTGTTTCGTGTGTGTGTGTGTGTGTGTGTGTGTGTGTGTGTGTGTGTCTTCGTCAAGTACTTCTGGCCCCCACTGAACAAGGTATAGAAAGGGGGTTCCATCTTATCACACAAATTGTAGATTCTTTTATCATTATTTACTCTATTTATCGTTTATTGGTGTTTTATTCTTCCATAATCACAAAGAAATATGACCAACGAGATGTGACCAGTCTGAACTCAAGCTCTTCCATGCGTGAGGGAACAGCTGGAGGGAGCCATTGTAAACATAACAATAGAGATCAGCTGATGACACACAACACAACGTAGTAAACAGCGTAAAGGAGACTTCTTGATTTTATGAATGAAGATGACGAATTCGACCTGTAAACACCTACTGAGTGTTCGTATCTCCTGACATTGACTTCGTTTTGAGTTTAGATGTAAATTTGGATTATAATTGATTACTGAAGACCAATTAAAACAGTAATATCAACTTTAATGATAATGATAGATGTTATTATCACCAGAAGATCTTAGTGGGTGTTTTAAGGTAATGAGTTCACGTAGGCTATGGTGACGGGGGAAGGAATTAGAGGTGATGTTTACAAAAATGAGCCCAAGGACTTTATTTACAAGACAGGTAAAGCAAGACTTGAATGAAAATAAACGAATATGAAAGATTTTTTATATATATTCGAATCGTCATTTTTTTGGGGGGGTATTTTTTTATATAGAAAGCACAATGTAAAGAAAATATGAAGGGTGTGGGAAGCTTGTCTCTCGAGGTAAGATATGCGTTCGTGTGGCGTCGTATAATAAAATCCGACTTGGATACTCGAACGCAAACAAATCTATATTTATTTAACATCTCTTTAGTATTTTGAGTATAATTTAACTTAAATTTGAATTGTTAAATGGTGAGATAGCCAAGACAATACATATATATTTATAAAGATAACGAAAGCAAAGATACCGTAAATATTACTCCCAAACTGATAAGGATTTAAAGCAATATTCCTCACTTCTACCCTTCATAATTTCTTTTATCATCTACAAATCCTTTTCAAATTCCTCAATGTTGTGAGCTTACGACACACTAATTCTCACCATATTTACTGTGTCGTCATCTCACAACACCATCGGAAGGCAAAAAAACTAAGACTACGTGATACTGAGAAACGAAGTGAAAAGAATAAATAGCAATTGATAGAACTTATACAGGATTTACAGTTTAATAAAAGATATTAGACAAACAACAACACTAATATTACACTGAAATTATATCAGAAAATTGTAAACAAATAAAAATGGAGTGTGTATGGAATATTGTTTGTATGTGTTTGACATTCCAACATTCACTTGCAAGTTTGGTTTGCAGTGTTGTGTGGAAACCATGCAACATACAACATACACATTCCAAGCGACAGACATACACATGCAGAAGTATTAGTTATCTATAGGAGAAGTAAGAAATAAAGGAGTTATCAAAGGGGTGAATATTATTATTATTTTTGCAGGTAGAACTGAAAAACTCTCTCGTGAAATCATCAAATACACAAAACAACAACAAGAACTCACCAAAAACTTTAAAATTAACCAACTTTCGATAGCTACTTAAATCAATTTTTGAGTTAATTAATGAAACTAGGTATAATACGAGTGAGTTTCGGTATGTACCCCTTTAGCGTTATAGTGTATATAGGATAATAACGAAGATAAATAGAACAGATAGATAACAGAAGGGAAATTGGACGAAACATTATGAAAAACTATGAAAAAAACACGAAAAATAGAATCAAAGAAGAAAACGTCAACTTAAACTAAAAGAAAATACTATAATTTTGGGGTGAATTATAGAGGATGGAAGAACGATAATATAGGGGGAACTACAGAGAGTGGGATAAAGTATAAGAGAAGTGATAAGAAAACAAAACAAGAGAACGTTATGGCGTTTATACTTTTTCATATGTAAACACACACACACACACACATTGCCATACTCACATACAAATACATACATGGATAAACACACACTAACACACATACACAAAATATGAACAAACATGTAAATAAAACTCATACAGGAAAAAAAAAACACACACACACACAAACATGCAAATAAACACACATGCAACAGCATACAAACAAACCCACACACACGTACACAAACATAAATACATACAACCACACATGCAAAAAACAAACACTTGCACAATAAAACAACCACACATGCACAAAAAACAAACACAAACACACATGCACAAACACCCAGAGGCCTCGAGTTGATGCTTGTGTTACTTGACCATAATTAATCTAACCTAGCCTAACCACTTCCGGGTCTCGTTATCTACAACTGAGACGGTGATAACTAACTACCCAATTCATCCCCTTTCAAATTTAGATACGAAATTAACAGTTAAATATCTATCTATCTTCCTTGGTCAAGTAAACAACGATTAATTCCCCTAGACAAGCACAGCTTCATCATCATGCAAGTTGAGAAGGCATAATATCCAGGTTCTGAAACAGTCTTACGTAAAAAAAAAAATTTCCTCCTAACTGGTAATGTAAAACCGTAACTCCCACATTCATTGAAATCATTAAAATTAACTCCAAAATTATATAGAATTAGTGTGGGAGTTTCTTGCATTATTTTGTTATGAGTTAAATGAGGAAAATTATCGTAAGGCTGTTGTAAGATCTCGGATTATGCTAAGTGTTGGTTCTGTATTGCCAAGTTTGTTATGATAATTTAAAAAAACGTAACTGTGATGGGAAAGTTTATGTATTGGCTTATATTTATTTATTTATTATTAATATTTTTTTTTGTTTATTCGCTTATTGAAACCTGTAAGTCAATGATCAATTATTTTTTTGAAGATTTTGGCAGTGGGCAGAAGAGACACTAAATTGATCTTCTCGAAACTGTGTTCCTCTCTCAGATAAGACACATGTGAGATACTCAGAGAGGCAGTCAGAGGTGAGGAGGAGGAGGTCCTCTTCCTACCCTGGAGGTCTAGGTGAACTAGATAAAGAGGGGCTGAAAGATGGATGGAGGTGTACCTTACCTTAGCTAGCCGGCTCAGGCAGCGGCGGTGAGAGAGAGAGACAGAGAGCAACAAGTGTCAACATTATATTTGGTCAGGTCGTTTACACACGCGATCTTCCCTCGCCCGCGTCCTACCCTCAGGTGGTGATGTCACGCCGAGGGAAGCTGAGTGTAAACATTCTCACTGGTCTTACGTACATACACCTTAAACATTCTAACTATGGCTGTGTTAAACATTCTGTCAACATTTAGTAAATTAGCTACGTTCATTAGCAATCAACACAATTTCTTAATCAGCCAAATATGTCGATCTTATAATGTCAATATTTGTCGGGTTTTAAAGTTCATTATAAACTTTTAGTCATGGAAATGTCATTAAGGGTGACGTTACCATCGAATTATTATTTTTTTGTCTGTCTGTCTATCTGTCTGTTTGTGTCTGTCTGACTTAAGTTGAATTCCATCTTTTGTATTTGTTTTTCTTTCATTTATCATCAGGGTCACTCACACACATTCACATAAATAAATTCAGTCAAGCTCTCAGAGATGTTTAGTCAGTTTTACTCGTCATAACAGGTATGCAACGGGTCAACAGGTATGCAACGGGTCAACAGGTATGCAACGGGTCAACAGGTGCCAATCAGATACACAGACGTAAACATCAACAGGAGTCGTCAATAAACAAAACAAATATAAACAAAGTAAATAAAAAATTAAGTCACAAAAGTAAGTAAGTAAGTAAGTAAGTAAATCAAGTAAACAGACAAGTCAATAGGAAACGTAATAACAAGTCCCTCAGAAGGTAACCAAGTCCAACAGGTGTTTTAAGTGCATATAAAAAAAACACAAAAAGTCCAGTAAGATAATGAAAGTCCAAAGTGCATATACAGGTAAGATAAGCACAGGTAAGGTAATTAAGTCAGGTGGTGCCAACACTGTCAAGGAAAGATCTGTGTGTGTGTGTGTGTGTGTGTGTATGTATGTCTGTATGTGTGCGTGGGACTGACATACATACGCGTGTCCAGGAAGCAGGCAGAAGTTATAATAGGTAGTTGTTTTGTCCACAGGATAGGTAACTTAGGACGGAGTTTTATTTAAAGGGTCCTTGACATATAATTGGGTCATTAAGAAGTCAAAGTTGAGGGGTCAAGTCTTATAATGTGTGATGATGGTGGTGATGGTGGTGAGGGGGGTGGTGGTAGTGGTGAGGGGGGGGGTAATGGGGTTATGATGGATGTATAATGACTGGTAGTAGTGGTGGTGGTTGTAGTGGTGATGGTGGTAGTTATGGCCTAAATGGTGAAGATGATGGTAGCTATGGTGATTGTAAAGATGACGATGAATGTTATTATGAGAATGACGATGGTGGTTGTGATGATAATAGTGATGATAGTGGTAGTATTCGTCTGGTATAATGGTTGTAAATGGTAGAGAAAGAACCATCATTGGACTACTGAAGTGAATCACTAATTACCAACAGGTGTGTGTATTACGAGATCACAGGTGTATAATTTAATATGGTGAAGCGGAAATGGTGAATGGTGGTGATAGTGGTGCGTATAAGGGATGATTTATGGTGATTGAGATGGTGCTTAATAAGAATCTAATAATACTTGTGATTTACTTTAGTGCAATACTAGAATTTTATAATATTTAATGAAGATAAATAGGTATTGTTTGTCCTCTATGATAAAATGGCAAAGTTATATTTAGGAATTATATATATGTATTTTATTTAATTAATGTATGTAATATGTCTGACTTTGTTTATTTGAATGTAAATTAAATACTAAATTATAAGAGAATTTCTGAGAATTTTATGGCATGATAATTTAACCTTAGATTATCCTATTAAAATTTAAATGAGTCAAGCGAGAGACTGACCAACACTGCAACACTGATTTGACTTTTGTATTATTATTACTAGATCAAAAGATGTATTTCTCTCTTAAAAGTTATTTGGTAATGAAAAAAAATTATATAGCATTCGTGTGATAGTAATATAGTTGATATTTTATATATATATAATATAAATACAGTCTGTAGAATTTGTTAAACTTATTTTAAACTGTAGTAAAAGAAATCTTATTTGAGGAATTATGGACGTATTTTTGACAATCTTATTTTAGCTTTGGGTTAACTATTCTTTATGTTATCTTTATTATTTATTAATCAGTGTTGCTGTGGTGGTGGGCGGGGGTGATGGGGTGCTGTGGTGCTGTGGTCAGTCAGTTGGACCTACCTGCTGTCCCCCTGTTGCAAACCCCCCCTGAGAATGCGCGTCTACACATGTCTAACCTGTAAGGAAAAAAGTCATGTTTTCATTTAGTTTTTCTTATTTTTGTGGGCGTATTATTCAGTTGGGGGTCATCAGTACTGCCTTTGTTATTGTGCAGTTTTTGGGGGCAACACTGACGTCATCTTGTGGCGACGTCACAGGTGGCGGTGACGTCAGATTAGTGGATGACATCACAACAGAGGCGGTGTTGTGACGTGGTTAAGATTCAGCTGTTGGGGGTAGAAACGTTATCAGGGGCGCGAAGGTCTGTTTCTCAGTGTATCCCCAAAAGCCAGACAAGTGGACCAGACCAGCGATTTTGTGAGTCCCTACAACCAGACCTCCGGCGTCCCTGGCGTGCTGGGTGCTGGGTGGTGGTGGTGGCGGTGTTTCTTGTTGGTCTGATGTCAACAAGTCGTCTGGGTTGTAAATGATAATAACTTACCTGGTTGAATGTGACAGGTGGGAGCGGGCCTTTCCAGCGTGTGATAGAAAACGGGTCTTGTAAACTGGGTATTAGAGGGGGGGTTGGGGGGTTGGAGGGGGTAACTCTAGTAAACTACGGACCAGACTGTATTGTGCTACGACCCATAACCCAAACAGTAGATCCTCCACCGTACACGTGTTCTTTTGGCATACACGCAAATGTATGTATATATGTGTGTGTGCACGTATGCGTTTGTTGGGTTGTGTGCAACGTACCGGCTGTACCTGTCGTGCATCTCCCGCTCTTTCGTCGACGACACAAATCGTACCTGGGTAGAAATGTTAATAGGGAACACAAGTTTAGATGAGGAGAGACAGGTTGGGTGGGGGGGGGCCCTTGACGGTGCCTCGGCCGGCCATCATCAGCAGGGACGAGCCGTGGTCTGACTCCTTAAGGCAGACTACGAGCTCACAACCTCATAGCCACAATCTCTCACAAATAACAACCATCTCACAACCCTTGACTTATCTAGTTCTATCAAGCTTACTTTAACAATACTTAACCTCTACTTAAACTATCTGTACACATCACTATCATACTTATATAACTCATGGTCGCCACAGTAGTGACTTAGGGTTTATAAGAGAGGGTGGAGGGCCATTATCGGTGACCTTTTGACCTGGTTTATCGATCGCCTCGTTCCCATAAACCAGCTCCAGGTCAACCAGAGAGTTAGCTTCTCCCCGAGACTGGGAAAAAGACCAGGAACCAGTTAAAATAAGTTGATTGTTAGATACACTGATAAAACTTTGACCAGTTTAATAGAGTGTAAAACTAAGTGACTGGCAGAGAGACCACACAGTTAATATAAGTACTTGAGCTTCATTAGTTTTCATAGATGATTGAAAGTTATGATTCTTTCTCTACATGAACAGCTAAGACATTGGCTCTGAGAAATCACATAATGTTTGGTTATTATGATGTGGCTATAAACACCTTCCTAAGTGAGACAGTTTCCTACATTCTACCTCAACTAGTATCTACAGGTGTCATAAAAGATAGAGAACTACTATTTCTACATCAAAACATGAACACTTGTGCCCTAAAACAAAAGACAATCTATCTACGAGAATGAAGTTGAACTTCTGGAATTTATACATTTTCCATTACTTATACATCTAGATTCAATAGAGTTTAGGGCCTCAGAAAGGAGTTGGATTCCCTATGATACGCTATCTACCTATAGCCTGACGAGGAGGACACCCTTCGGCAGACAGTTCCTCTCCTCTTTTGTTAGAACTTGATAAAAGAAAAGAAAGATAAGAACTACTGGAGTTTATGATAAGGTACGCACTTGGTGATAGCGACGGCGATATCGTAGGTGGGAAGACGACGCTCTTGATACAGGTACTTGCCCATGTCTGTGAGGGCACTGGCTGAGTCTATCGCGTCGCGCCCCACTCGATTCTTCTCCAGGTAGGGCATGGCGTCACGGCTCTGTAGGGGGCGGTGAAGGAGGTGGTGTTAGATGACGTTCGTGTGTAGGTGATTTTTTAATTTCTATTTTTCAATTAATGTAAAATTTTAAAACCATATAAATATAAAATTCATGGATATAATTTCTAGATACGATTTTTATTTGATTTTTTTATGTTTTTTGGGGTTATGAACATTTGGAAGATTCTACTTTGTTTTTTAAATTTATCAACGATTTAGAATTTAAGAATATCTAATAAATGACGATTTTACTTTGGTTTAAAACAACTTAAAACAAAAGAAAACAAAAAAAAAACACTTTAAACCTTCTTAACCCTAGAAGCAAGGTAATAAATCTCCTCTTATCCTCCTTCTCTACTCTTCGTCTTCTTCTCCTTCTCTTGTCCTACACCCTTCCTCCACACCTCACCTCACCTCACCTCACCTCACCACACCTCACCACACCTCACCTCACCTCACTCACCCTAGAGATGATGATACCAGCTATAGAGACCTTAACTCTGGGCCCCTTCAGTAGCTTGTAGCGAAGGTCGACGCCGTTCCAGAAAGACACATAGTAGCTCTTGATCTGGCTGTTGTCCTGACCGTGGAGCCTGGAGGAGGGAGAGAGGATGTCAACAGGTAGTGGCGGTAGAGAGACGCAGGACAGACAGATGCAGGACAGACAGATGCAGGACAGACAGACGCAGGACAGACAGACGCAGGACAGACAGACGCAGGACAGACAGATGCAAAGAGATACATTGATTAGATAGGAATATAGACAGAGAGATAATAAACGCACAGATAACAGACAGAAATAGACAGACACACATATACACACAATGACCAGAAAAAACACACAGACACACACAACAGCTAGAAACACACACACACACACACACACACACACACACACACACACACACACACACGTACACACGTCTATAACTCACAAGTAGCCATCATAGTCGACCAGAACAAGAATCTCCGGGTAGATAATGTAGGGGGCGCTCCTCTTACGTCTGGGCCGGGCGTCTGGGCTCCTGGCGGGGATGTGATCAAGCTCCATCAGCGCTGTGGAGAGATAGATAGATAGATTGGATAGATGGGTGGGTAGATAGATAGATAGATAGATAGATAAATAAATAAGTGACTAACTGTCTTACCTCACAATAACACAGTTAACTTAAACAAATAACATAAACAAACAAACTTTACCTGAGAACAAAAAAAATTATTTACAAGAACAAAAACATCGATTATTTTTATTTAATTATATGAGAAAAAAATACATTAAAACCTCGATATAACGGATTTATCTCTCCATATAGTCCGCTTAATCGAGGTTTTACTGGACTTGACTGAAGGCCCCGACTGAAGCATAACACTACAACATAGGAACAAACACTCGCCAAATACCAACGGGACTTAAGTCAATCTTAGGGTCAGACCTCGTCCACCTGTCAGCAGACCCTAATTAACCATATGGACGCCCTACGCCCACCTACCTGTGTACTCAGCAGGAATTTAATAACAAGACCCCTTCTACCTGCTCACGGGCCCTGTCTGAAGCATATGAACCCCCGCTAGTGGGCCCTGTCTGAAGCATATAGTGGGCCCTGTCTGGAGCATATGAACCCCGCTAGTGGGCCCTGTCTGGAGCTGGAGCATATGAACCCCGCTAGTGGGCTCCTGTCTGGGCATATGTAGTGGCCCTGTCTGAAGCATATGAACCCCGCCAGTGGGCCCTGTCTGGAGCATATGAACCCCCTGGAGAGCCCTGTCTGGAGCATATGAACCCCCTTGAAGCATATGAACCCCTGGGCCCTGTCTGGGCATATGAACCCCCGCTAGTGAGCCCCTGTCTGAAGCATATGAACCCCTGTGGGCCCTGTCTGGAGCATATGAACCATGTCTGGGCATATGAACCCCCGCTAGGGGCCCTGTCTGGGAGCATATGAACCCCGCTAGTGTCTGGAGCCCCTGCCTGAGCTCCCTGTCTGACATATGAACCCGCCAGTGGGCCCTGTCTGGAAGCATGAACCCCGCTAGTGAGCCCTGTCTGGAGCATATGAACCCCCCAGTGGGCCTGTCTGAACCCCCGCTAGTGGGCCCTGTCTGAGCATATGACCCCGCCAGTGCCCTGTCTGGAGCATGGCCCCCCCTAGCATGAACCCCGCCCCTGTCTGGAGCATATGAACCCCTAGTGGGCCCTGTCTGGGCATATGAACCCCGCTAGTGGGCCCTGACATATGAACCCCGCAGTGGGCCTGTCTGAACATATGAACCCCGCTAGTGAGCCCTGTCTGAGCATATGAACCCCGCTAGTGCCCTGCCTGTGCACAGGGCCCTGTCTGGGCATATGAACCCCGCAGAGGCTGTCTGGAGCATATGAACCCCGCTAATGGGCCCTGTCTATGAACCTAGTGAGCCTGTCTGAAGCATAACCCCGCCAGTGGGCCCTGTCTGGAGCATATGAGCCCGCCAGTGAGCCCTGTCTGGGCATATGAACCCCTGTCTAAGTGAGCCCTCTGAGCAGAACCCCCGGTGGGCCCTGTCTGAAGCCCCCTCCCTGCCAGTGGGCCCTGTCTGAGATGAACCCCGCTAGTGGGCCCTGTCTGAAGCATATGAACCCCCCAGTGGGCCCTGTCTGAAGCATATGAAGTGGGCCCTGTCTGAAGTATGTGGGCCCTGTCTGAAGCATATGAACCCCCGCTAGTGGGCCCTGTCTGAAGCATATGAACCCCGCTAGTGTGCCCTGTCTGGAGCATATGAACCCCCGCTAGTGTGCCCTGTCTGGAGCATATGAACCCCGCCAGTGGGCCCTGTCTGAAGCATATGAACGATCTTTTACCCCTCGAGGCCATTGATCTCTGAGTGTAAGTACATGACCGAGCTCTTCTCTGGCCCTGTTGGTGGGCCCTGAGAGAAGCATTATGAACGAGCTCTTATCCCTCCTGCCAGTGGGCCATGACAGAAGCATAATGATAATCCCCAGCACCTGTGTTAAACGTGTAGGTTAGGTTAGGTTAGGTTTATCTAAAGGACAATTCATCATCCACGTCTCAACCATCACACAATAACAAGGTTGTATAAGGTCCCCCCCCCCCTTGGCGATGTTGGGTGCGTCATCTGGCTTGTTCTCGACCACAGGAGCCTCCAGCAGGTGTCTGAGGCCTGGAGACAAGCGAATGTTCGTCTGGCGTAGTCAAATAGTACGGTGTGTGAAGATGACAGAGGTATGATTGTACACCTGACGCTCCAGTAAGCATATCCGTGTAGGGCTGAGGAAAGGCGGAAGATCTTTAGCCTGGCGTTACGAGGGGGTGGAGAGACGAGAGAACGTTAGCCTGGCGTAGCTCCCATAAGCCATTACAGTGTAGAGAGGGAGGGCTTTATCGACGCTAATGACTGGCCGCGCTGGAGTTATTCCTTATGATGTGGGTGTGTGAGTTGTAGAGCCGCCCCTCCCTCCCTGGTGAGTCACGGCGGTCCCTCACAGTAACTGAGGGACGCCACTCACCCCCTCACTGTGTATGTGTGTGTCACGGGGCGAGACCTACGAGAAGCATGTACAGGAAAGATTCAGATGAAGAAATAATAACAAGATTCAGACGAAAGATTCATTAGGGGGAAAAATCAATAAAAATATCTATTAAAAAAAATCAGGAGCGAGAAAAACAATAATAAGATTCAATACAAAATGATTCAGGAAATGATTCGTCAGCCCGAGAGAGAGAGAGAGGTCCTACTGTCGAGGTTGGTTGGCGGGAATGAGTGAGGTGAAGTTTCGGGTAGATTCAGTGGTAACCGGCCCCTAGTAGTAGTACTCCTCACCACGGCCAGATTCTTTATTTAACACAGAACCTGATCCACAACACGAATATTTTATTTATTCTCAATACACTAATTACATGTATAATAATCATACTTGTGTTATAAAATAATAAATAAATAAAGAGATCTTGATACTTGTGAATTGAAAGAACTTTTACTAGGGGGTGACTCAGTACGTGTGAATGAATCTTTATTTTGATATGACAAGTAAAACAAGACGTCTTTAGAGAGAGAGAGAGAGAGAGAGAGAGAGTCTTTTGAGAATTTCTGGACTATGATTCATCAGGACGGCAGGTGAAGAGGGAGATTCACCTGACTAACAACTATCATCTGGTTCCCTTAACAAGCCACCTGGGGGGAGGAATACTCGACGGGGTTAACGACAGTAAAGGGGAGGATGGTGGTGGGGATGGGGAGGGGGGGTAATAGTTGTAGTGGTGGTGGTGGTGGTGGTAGGGATGGTGGTAGTGGTGCGGGCGGTGAGTTGATAACCACACAGGTGAACCGTTCCCTACCTAATCAAACCTACCTACCTACCCAACCTACCTACCCAACCTACCTACCCAACCTACCTACCCATCCTACCTACCTACCCAACCTACCTAGCCTACCCTCCCACTTACCTTACTGTCTTAACTATCTTATCACCCTATTCGTGGGAGAGAGAGGGAAGGAGGAAGGGAGGTAAGTAAGGAGAGGGAGATATAGGAAGGGAGAGAGAGACGATTCTAGAGAGGGAGGAGAGGGAGGGACGAAAGGAGGAGAGAGGAAGGAGAGGGAAGGAGAGGGAGGAGAAGGCGATGGGGAGGCAAGGAGAGAGGGAGGGAATGGAGGGAGGGAGAGGAGAGAGGGAGTGGGGGGGCAGACTTTCACCTCATGGGTAGGTAACCTTTCTTCAAGCCCAGTCTGGCGGGTGTCTGGTCTTCCCCAGCCTTAAGCTATACTCCCGGTCGCTCAGTCGCCCGGCCTCCTACCTCTCCCTAGCCCTAGCCTCTTCCTAGCCCTAACCCTCGTCTCTCCCTAGCTCTAGTCCTTGTCTCTCCCTAGCCCTAGTCTCTCCCTAGCCCTAGCCTCTTCCTAGCCCTAACCCTCGTCTCTCCCTAGCTCTAGTCCTTGTCTCTCCCTAGCCCTAGTCTCTCCCTAGCCCTAGCCTCTTCCTAGCCGTAGCCTCTCTCTGGCCGTAGTCTCTCCTAGCCGTAGCCTCTCTCTGGCGTAGTCTCTCCCTAGCCTAGTCTCTCCTAGCCGTAGCCTCTCCCATGTAGCCTCTCCTAGCCGTAGTCTCTCCCTAGCTCTAGTCCTCTCCTAGCCCTAGTCTCTCCTAGCCGTAGCCTCTCCCTAGCCTAGCCTCTCCTAGCCTAGTAGCCTCTCTCTAGCCCTAGTCTCTCCCTAGCCCTAGTCTCTCCTTAGGGTTGGTTAGGTTACGTTGTATTAAGCTTATAGACTATGTTGTATACAGATTTATAACTGTTGTTGTATTATTGTATTATAGAATGTTATTTGTCTGTTTATGTCAAGACACAGATGTTGTCTATAATGTTTGTTGTTGTGTTTGTTTTTGTTTGTTTTTGTTTGTTTCGTCTTTATGTATAAGGAAGCATGATAGAGTTACCCCACCACCCACTCCAAACAACCCACCGCCCACTCCAAACAACCCACCACCCACTCCAAACACCCCACCACCCACTCCAAACAACCCACCACCCACTCCAAACACCCCACCACCCACTCCAAACAACCCACCGCCCACTCAAAGACTCCCACCACCCCTCCAAACACCCCACCACCCCTCCAAACACCCCACCACCCCTCCAAACAACCTACCACCCACTCCAAACACCCCACCCACTCCAAACAACCCCACCACCCACACCTCAAACAACCCACCACCCCTCCAAACACCCCACACCCACTCCAAACAACCCACCGCCCACTCCAAACACCCCACCACCCACCAAACACCCCTACCACTCCAAACACCCCACCACCCTCCAAACACCCCACCACCCACTCCAAACCCCACCACCCACTCCAACACACCCTCCAAACAACTCACCGCCCACTCCAAACAACCCACCACTCCAAACACCCCACCACCACTCCAAACAACCCACCACCCACTCCAAACACCCCACCACCCACTCCAAACAACCCACCACCCACTCCAAACACCCCACCACCCACTCCAAACAACCCACCGCCCACTCAAAGACTCCCACTCAACTCACCCCTTACTCCAACACTCGAGGGTGAGGGTGGAGGACGGAACAGTACTCAGGTATAGAGAGAAGGTCGAACTAAGGGTCTTGAGGTGTGTGATACGCCATACACCCCAGCCAACCACCAGAGAGCTCTTGTGTCTCCCCTTCAGCCCAACCAATGAAAAGAAAGCCATTGGAGTTTAGTTGACCAATGAGAGTACTGCGTCGTTTTTATAGGTAGCCAATTAGATTTAAGGAAACAGGGGATACTTATTTGACCAATGAGAATATTTCGGTACTTTTCTAACCAGCCAGTTAGATCCGTGAACGCTGCCTCAGCTGGCCAATAAGACAAGTACTGTCATCTTTCTATCTTCTGTCCAGCCAATCAAATCACAGAACCCCATCAAAATTGGCCAATGAGAAACAACATGTCATTTCTATCATCTATCTCACCAATATGATCACAAGACCTCGCCTCAGCTGACCAATGAGAAAACAACACCACTTTCTTATCACTTCTGTTCAGCCAATTAGATCACAGAACACAACCTCAAGTGACCAATGAGGAAAGTGCGTCATCGTTCCAATCAACCAACTGGAGCACGAAATATGGCCTCAGGTGACAGGTATAAATTCACTTCGGCAGGAAATACCAGAGTTGAGGAAAATAGTTATTGGTGAGGTGGGGTTGAGGCGGGGGTGAGGCGGGGTGAGGTGGGTGAGGCTGGGTTGAAGCGGGGGTGAGGCGGGGTGAGATGGGGTTGAGGCGGGGTGAGGTGGGGTTGAGGCGGGGTGAGGCGGACCCTTCTTGGAATATTGGCTAATCACACCTTGCTTAACAGGTAAAGTAGACCACACACAACAACTTACACACCTGTATATACACCTACAGTACATACACACCTACACAATATGAATAAACCTGCACAATATATACACACCTGCACAATATGTACACACCTGCACAATATGTACACACCTGTACAATATGTACACACCTGCACAATATGTACACACCTGCACAATATGTACACACCTGTACAATATGTACACACCTGCACAATATGTACACACCTGCACATTATGTACACACCTGCACAATATAAACACATCTACACACTATAAACACACTTACACACCTGTAAACACACTTACACACCTGTAAACCACGTACAAATCACACACCATTACAGTCTGGATCAAGGAATGTATTACAGGTGCTTACGTCAAGGAGTAGTGAGAAGGGTAGGTAAAGTTCCTCACTCAGTGCTGTCGAGACCCTAGGCGGACTGTCCTTAGTGAGATCACCAAGGAGGATAGTCTCTCTCTCTCTCTCTCTCCCTCTCTCTCTCTCTCTCTCTCCCAGTCTCCTCCTCCTTCCGTCTCTCTCTCTCTCTCTCTCTCTCTCTCTCTCTCTCTCTCAACATCACTGAGAGGTTTATGGTGTTGTGTCGTCAGCTCACACCAATAAGAGGAGTGTAAACATAATATGAGCCAATAAATATATCGTTGTCTTCGAATCTAATCATTCCTATTGGTCAGTCATTAGCCTAAGGTGGCACAGTACCCTAGCCCGTGTGAGTGTTTTGACTCGTGTTCATTTTCTTGTATTTAGTTATTCCTTATTTTTCTTTTATTTTTATTTTTGTTTCTGAGTTAGTTTTCTCTCTTTCTCCTTTTATTATCGGTTCTCTTTCTGTCTTAGTTATCACATTTATTAAAGATAGTAGTTTAAGTATTTTCATCCAATATTCATTTCTACTTTCCTTCTACGCTCTCTATTCCAACTTTCTTTACTTTCACACTTTTTTCTGGTCTATTTCTGATGACTCTCTCATTAACCTCGATATCACACAGGATGAATCAAACACCATCATGTGAACTAATAAACAAAATTCCACCAGTTTAAGCTTTTTTTACTCCATGTTTTAAGCTGGCGTTTGATCACCTGTTCTCTATGTCACTCCATTTCCCTTTCTTGTCCTTCCTCGTCTTTCCATGTCCTTCCTTGCTCGTCCACCTCTCCTCGTGTCTTCCTCCTCCTTCCCGCATTATCATGTTCCTCCGTGTCTTCCATCATCACCTCACGTGTCCCACTTCTAACATGCCACCGTCCTCTGATGCCTCTCGTGACCCGGCCTCCCCCTTCACCGCCTCCTGCAGTTCTCCTCTAATAATCCATCATAACTACTGATCAGACTCTATAAAACCTCGTCGCACCATTCACAAGGGTTGGGTGCTTAAGATCATATCCGCTGGGTCAGGTTCGCTTAGTGATGGTGTCCTGGTCAGC